ATGAGGCCTCCAGCTATATTTTTCTTTTTTTTCAAAATTGCTATGGCTTTCTGGGTCCTTTGAAATTCTGTATAAATTTTAGCATTTAAAAAATTTCTACAAGAAATACCATTGGAATTCTGATAGGGGTTGCATTGAATCTGTGTATGGTTTTGAAGAGTATGGACATTTAACCAATATGGTCTTCCAACACCTGCACCCGGGATGTCTTTCCACTTGTGTGTGTGTGTGTGTGTGTGTGTGTGTGTGTGTGTAGCAATGTTTAGTAGTTTTCAGTGTACCAGTGTTTTACCCCTTTGGTTTATTCCCAAGTGTTTTCTTGTTTCTGATGCTACTGTAAATGAGAGTACTGTCTTCATTTCCTTTCCAGATTGTTCACTCTTGGTGTCTAGAACTGCAACCAGTTTTTGTGTGTTGATTTTGTGTGTTGCACTTTGCTCAATTTGTTTATTAGTTCTAACAGCGATTGCTTGTTGTATGTCCTATTTAGGGTTTTCTATATATAAGATCATGTCATCTCCAAGTAGAGAGTTTAATTTCACTCTTTCTATTTTGCATGCCATTTGTATTTCTTGCCGAATTGCTCTGATTAGGACTTCCAAAACTGTGTTGATAGATGTGGTGAGAGAGGGATTACTTGCTTTATTCCTGATCTTAGAAGGGAATCTTTCATGTTTTTCACCATTGAGTATGATGTCAGTGGTGGGCTTTTCATATAAGGCCTTTATCATGTTAAGGTCATTTCCTTCTATTGCTAATTAAATTTTTTTTTTTTTAATTACGAAAGGGTGTTGACTTTTGTAATGTGATATTTCTGCATCAGTTTTTATGTCCTTCATTCTGTTAATGTGGTACATTACATGGACTAATTTTCATGTGTTGAACTATCTTTGCTTTCCAGGAATGACTCTGCTTTTTTTTTTTTTTTTTTTTTTTTTATGTTAATCCTCACCTGAGGATATTTTTCCCTTTGAGTTTTAGATAGAGTGGAAGGGAGGGAGGGAGAGAGAGAGAGAAAGAAGAGAGGGAGAAAGTAAGAGAAAAACATTGATGTGAGAGAGACACATTGATTGGTTGCCTCCCTCATGACCCTGATTGGGGTTGGGGGTGGAGCGTGAAACCCAGGTACATGCCCTTGACTGGGAATCGAACCTGTGACCCTTGGGTATGAGAACTGATGTTCTAACCACTCAGGCAAACTGGCCAGGGCACATCATCCTTTTACTGTGTTGTTGGATTCAATTTGCTGGTGTTCTGTTGAGAACTGTTTCATCACCGCACTTCCGGAATATCGGTCTGTAGATGTGTTTTCTTTGAGTTGGGTGTTGGGTAATGCTGGCTTCATAGAATGAGTTTGAGTGTCCCCACCACTTCAATTTTTTTTGGGAAGTATTTGAGAAGGATCAGTGTTACTTCTTCTTTAAATGTTTGGAAAATGCTCCGCTGAAACCATTTGGCCCCGGATCTTGCTTTGTTGGGAGATTTTGGATTCTGGAAATAATCTCTCAACTCATTCTAGGTCTATTCAGATGTTCTGCTTCTTCATGATTCAGTCTTGGTAGGTTGTGAGTTTCTGGAAGTTTGCCCACTTCTTCTGGGCCACTCAGTGTGTGGGGTATTTCTGTCCTCACCTCCTCCCGGTTCTTGGAGTTCGTCACTGTCCCCTTTTCAGCAGCCGTGACGTGTCGGGAGCTACTTCCCACGTCTGGCTCGCTCTCGCTTCCCCGTGGCTCGAAGGGAGGAGCAGAGCCACCCCTAAGCAGGGGATACAAAAGCAACTGAGAAGTATTCGGATGTTTAGGGTTAAAAGATGGGGAAAAAAATCGCATTTAAAAATCCGACATATCCATGAAAGCTGGGAGAGATGCTTTGATTTTCTTTTTTTTTTTTTTAATCCTCACCCAAGGACATTTTTCCATTTTTTGTTCAGATAGAGCGGGAGGGAGAGAGAGGAAGAGAGAGAGAGAGAAACATCGACGTGACGAACTCCACGAACCGGGAGGAGGTGAGGACAGAAATACCCCACACACTGAGTGGCCCAGAAGAAGTGGGCCCGACGTGAAGGGACGCATCGAGGGGCTGCCACCCGCACAACCAACCAGGGCCGGGGACAAACCGCAACCGAGGCACATGCCCTTAGCGGGAACCGAACCCGGGTCTCTCTGTACCGCAGGCCAACGCTCCAACCGCTGAGCCAAACCGGCCAGGGCGAGATGCTTTGATTTTCATTCGCATTGAAACTGAATACCTTTCCCCCCAAATATATATTTTTCTTTATTGATTTTTTAGAGAGAGAGGAAGGGAGAGAAAGAAACATCGATGTGAGATAGAAACATCGACGGGCTGCCTCCTGCACGCCCCACACGGGGGATCAAACCCGCAACCCAGGCACGTGCCCGGACCAGGAACCTCTCAGTCCGTGGAACGACTCTCAGTCCACTGAGCCACGCCGGCCGGGCCTGCATGCCTTTTCCTGGTTTAATCCACAAGACCGTCTTTTAACCTTCAAACCCTGACATATAATGATGGTGGCAACCCAATCTCTCTAGATCAAAGGCACCTGTTTCTTCAACCAGACGGGCTGTAGTCTATTCCGCACAAGCCCCAGCATCACACAGTACTTTCCGAGACTCAGACAAATAACCGGCGACAGAACTGGCACCTGAGAGTTCCCGGCGAGGGGGGCTTGGTCCGGCCCCTCCCAGGAGCCTCTTCGGGAACCTAGGTCATCTACACCTGCCGTCCTCGCTCTGGTCCCTGGGAGGTGGTGAGCCTCCGCCGGGGCCCGGATCCCCACACGGAGTCTAAGGGAGCAGACAGCTGAGCTGGGTCCCGCAGAGCCCGGGCAGACACAGTCCGTAGCTAGATCCCCCGGGTAGGGAGTAGTGGGCGTTTGCAAGGGCAGGCGGGGGGAGGAGTCGCTCCCAAAGCCCGCGTCCTCTTTCACTGATGTGAGTAGGATCACTGAAGGGTGGTGTCGGGAAACACGTTTGGGAACCTGGAGTAAATGAAGTGCAACAGGTGTCTCTCCTCAGAGCTGTGCCACGTTAATGCGTATTGCACCTGTTCCAGAAGGGGCTTGGTGTTCAGCGCTCCCCAAACTGTTACTCATGGAACCCCATCCTTTTTTCTAGAACATTCCATGGAATGAGTGTTCCATGGAATACACTTTGAGAAACGCTGGCCAAACCCCCCTTGGAAGAGGATGGAGTTAGAATCCACTTACTGTCATTCTGTGCTGGGCATTTAACAAGCAGTGGCCAACTGGCTAAGGGGTGTTACTACAGCTCCTCTGTTGCAGAGGAGGGAACCGTGATGACCTGCCCCAGGTGGGGTGTGGGGGACCCGGGACCCCGGTTGATCTGACTCTTCCCCACTATTGCTCGCTCCTAATTGGTTCCTAAAGGGCTCCAAGTCCAGGCTGTTGCATTTGACTGACAAGTTGCCGTAGAGTATAAACACCGATGTTCTTCTCACGCTCTCCCTTCCTAACCCTCAGAGTGGGGTCCCGTGGGAGTGTCGGGGTGTCCCGTCACAGCCGTGTGAGTGAGACATGACGAAGAGCGGTGTCTGGCACCCGCTGGTGCGGAGCGACATGAACATGGCTCACAGCCTGGGGTCGCCCGTGGCCTCCTGGAGCTGCAGCACCCGCGGCCGGGGAGCCCTGGCCGGTCTGGGGAGAGACGAGTCCCGGGTGTACCTCCCAGCTCCAGAATGTGTGGGCTTGGTGCCACATAAAAAACGAAGGACCCTTGTTCAAAAGTTATTCAGAATTTCGAGACAGCATTGAATGAATCACGGGGCCCTTCGAGCATGGGGTGTTAGGGGACTGCATGGGGCTCGTACCCATGACCCAGGAAACAGTTGGGAGGAACCAGAGATTCAGATAAAGGGGAGGGGAGAGGGGCTGTCTCTGCAAGGGGATGTCAGCCGTTGGCGGGGACAGAAGTCCCGGGCCAGCTCCCTGGAGGGATCTTAAAGAGCCCAGGCCCTCCAGCTGATCTCGTTGGTCGGGGCCTGGAGGGGAAGAGGCGGGCATGAAGGGGTGGTGCGTTCTGGTGTGGGGTGGGGAGACGGTGTCGTTTGCTTGCAGAGTGGTCTGCTGACCTGGGCTAGTGAACCTATCAGAGCACGAGCTTGGCGGGGAGTCATGTCTGCAGCCACAGGCTGGTGGTGGGTACGAGGACCCCACCGGCTGCAGGCAGCCCTGGGTCTGGCTCCAGCCTTGCTGGCCAATGCCCCAGGCCTGTTCCGGTCTGAGATTGGAGGTGGGCACACGGCAGCGTCTCGCTGGAGGAAAAGCACGACATGTTAATAGAGAATAAGGGGACGATTCGAGATTTCCAGCCACCGCGCTGCGTGTGCGCCCGCGTGGTCTGGGCAAGGTCCGCCCGCCGCGGACTGAGGCTCTGTCCTGGGCTTGCCCTCGGTGGGATTCAGAGCTAAGCGGGGTGTCACCGAGCAGCCCCTTCCGAGCCTGTGGGTGCCCTTGCCCTGGACTCTCCACTCTGCCACGCCTCCCTGCCTGCCTCCCTTTCAGAGGAAGGTCGAGTGGCACCGTTTCCAGCCACCACCAAAGGAATGCCACCGCCAGCTTCAGAGTCTCTTGTCCGTGTTCAGTCGAAAGTGATGGTCGCCCTGGCCGGTTGGGCTCAGCGGTGAGAGTGTCGGCCTGCGGTCCAGAGAGACCCGGGTTCGGTTCCCCTAAGGGCACGTACCTCGGTTGCAGTTTGTCCCCGGCCCTGGTTGGTCGTGCGGGTGGCAGCCACTCGATGTGTCCCTTTCACGTCGATGTTTCTCTCTCTGTTCCTCTCTCTCCCTCCCACTCTATCTGAACAAAAAATGGAAAAATGTCCTTGGGTGAGGATAGAGAAGACAAGCGATTGTCGTAGGAGAGGCAAGCCCCTCACTCACGAGGCAGCAGGCTAAGAGGCGGGGACCGCTCACTCTCTGCCCCTCCTCTCTCCTAGGTGAACACTTGGTGCTCAGACAAACTCAGGATGAGGAAACACCGGCATCTGCGCTTGGCCGTCCTGTGCCTTTTCCTCTCAGGCTTCGCAGTGGCTCGAGCGCAGCAGCAGTCGGCAGGTAAGAGCCGGCGCCGCCTCGGGGTGCTGTTAGGAAAGGAACGGGGTTCCCCGATTTCAGGTCTCAGACCTCAGGAGCTCGAGGCCGGCGCAGACCCCCGTTAGCCAGGCAGAGGCTTTGGCTGGACTTGGGTTTGATGCCTTGGGGTTGGCTCGCAGCCGGCGGGTGGTCCCACTGAGCAGGAGCAGAAAGTTTGCATGGCAAATATTTGACCAGCAGGACAGCTTTGCCAGGTTCCTGGCCCCGAGCGCTTAGGACCACAGATGCCCCTTGAGAGCCGACACCCTTTTCCTTGGAAACGAAACAAAGGGCAGGGCCCTCTCTCCACAGTCCTGGGTCCAGAAACCTTTGTCAGCCAGAACCATCGAATCTTCTAGAAATCGCTTTCCCCAAACTGTTTTTAAAAACTGATCTTAATGAGCCCGATTAAGCACTTGCTTGCAGAGTGTTAGGAAACGAAGAAACCTTCCTGCACCGTGAGCTCAGAGGGTGACTAGGGCTCCTCCCCTTTGCCGAGAGCAGGGGGGGGGGGGGCGAGGTGGGTCCTCCTGCCAGGCCCGTAGTGGTTAGATGGTGGGCGCTGAGCAGCGCTCGGTGGAAGGCGCCCGTTGCTTGGGCACCGGGTCCGCCCGAGGTAAGTAGGGTCCAGGAATCTGCTGTGGTCAGCAAGCCTGGCCACCACTGCAGAAGGGCAGTCCCCTCGCACTCGGCCTCCTGGTCCCACGGGTGAGCGGGCCACCCGGGTTCAATTTTGAGCGAGAGAAATTATGTCCAACCCCTGTGAAGGCTCTTCTGGCCCTGAAAACAGAGTAAGTCGTTAAAGCAGCTTTCTCCCTGCTGAAAGGTCAGAGGACATCCGTGAAGGAGGACTCATTTGCGACAGGCATGTCCCTCGACATGGCCCAAAGCGTGGGCAGCTAGTGACCGTGAGGCAGCAGCTGTTTTCACGGTTCCCCCTCACCAAGGCCCCGTTTCAGAACCCCAAACCGGAGAGTGCATTTCTAAGACGGTGCTCACTCAGCTGAAACAGGACAGCCTTCCGATCGATCAGGTCAGGTGGGTTTTGAGGCTCCAAGTGCCACAAAAATCGTGCTTGAGTTAAAAGACACCCGGGATGATTTCTCCCACGGTGGAGCCTGCCCCTAGCAGTCAGTGACACCTGCTGCTACTGAGTCTCTGCGGCCAGGTGCCCGCTCCTCAGGTAAGTCAGCTGCCCGCAGGGCCTCGCCAGGGAGGTGCGGATTCTTCAGTCCGTCCAGCGCAGGCTGAGGGAGTGTAGGAAGTCACTGCTTGAACAGGAGGAGACTCTAAACCAATGTCTTTTTTTAAAGATGTCAAAAGTGGTGCTGCTGCCGATATAATATTTCTAGTGGATTCCTCTTGGAGCATTGGAAAGGAACATTTCCAACTTGTTCGAGAGTTTCTATATGATGTTATAAAATCTTTAGCGGTGGGACAAAATGATTTCCGTTTTGCTTTGGTGAAGTTCAACGGCAACCCACATACCGAGTTCCTGTTAAATACGTATCATTCCCAGCGAGAGGTCCTCTCCCACATTTCCAACCTGTCTTTCACTGGGGGAAGCAATCAGACCGGAGAAGGATTAGAATACGTAATGCAGAACCACCTGACTGAGGCTGCCGGAAGCCGGGCCAGGGACGGAGTCCCTCAGGTTATCGTAGTGTTGACCGACGGACGCTCGGACCACCGCCTCGCCCTGCCCCCGGCCGAACTGGCGTCTGCTGACCTTAACGTGTTCGCAGTCGGAGTTGAGAGAGCAGAGGAAGCAGCCTTAAGAGAAATAGCAAGCGAGCCGGTCCATAGGCATGTTTTCAACCCAGAGAATCTCACGTCACTTCATGACATAGTAGGAAGCATAGTCTCCCGTGTGCACGCAGCCGTGACTCCAGCCGGGGCCGGCGACACGGAGACCCTTAAGGACCTCACAGGTAACGGAACGTCGCCAGCTGCTGCCCGCCTCGCTCTTGTTTGGCGATAAGCTTGGCCCCCCGCTGGCCCCGAAGCAGCGCTGCGGCTGAACCATGGCGGGTGGCTTAGGGAAGAGATGGCCCTTCGCAGGTTTAAAAACAAAGGTTGCGGCGTTCTCCGTGGTCACCTTCCAGGGGAGAGCCTCCACCGGCGCTGAGAGGGCGTGTTTCTGAGACAAGTAAATTCTAACTCAAAACAACCGTACCCCACAAAAGGGACCGCTGTGACCCTTAGAAAGGAAAACCTCGGCATGGCCATTTGTGGTTGGGGTGCAGGGGCTGTCCCCTTAAAGACCCCTCCCCGTGTGGCCGAGTGGGGGTGGAGGGCGAGGCGTCCAGTCTTATGTCCAGTGGTGACAACAGAGATTCTCTCTGCTGCCCCATGGAATTCACTTCAGAGAGCTGGTGGAGTCGGAAACCTTGGCTCGGACCCAGTCCAGGCCTAGAGGGAGGAAATGGGGTGCAGGGAGCTGAGTGACAGGCAGTCAGAGAGAGGCAGGGCTGGAGGCCCTCTGGGCGTGGCTCCGGGCTGGTCTTCTCACACGTGCATCCTACAACCACGGCTGTGCCCACGGAGGCTCTCCCGCCCCGACACCCCGTCAGTGCCACTCTGGAGGTACGGATCAGGTGCCCCCCTCGGGTGGACTCCTGCACAGGGACATGTGTGGAAGGAACTGGCGGGTTCTTGAGGCGAAGTCGTGAGCCCTCGCTCCAGGGCTGTGTCTGAAAGACCAACAGGGAAGGAACTTACAAGCAGAACGTCAGATGTGCCGCACACGGCAGTCACGACCGATGCCCAGGGCTCGGCTTCCTCATCAGGGACGGGCAGGGTGGAGGGAGCGAGTCTGCGAAGCCGATTCCAGCGGAGAGCAGGACTTTAGGAGCATGGGCAGGGGGTTGAGGGGCATCGGGGCTTCGGAGACAGCAGCATGTCCCCTGAGACCAGGGAAGCAGGAGGTGGGGGTGAGGAGGGAGGAGCCAGCTGCCTGGGGCAGGCAGACAGGCCTTGGCTGTGAGCAGCATTTCAAAACGGGCCAACCCCAAAGTGTTTCAGTGGGCTGTCCCTCGGGTGGCTCCCCCCCAAGGCTCCCTGCGATTTCAGCTTCATCTAATAGAGAGGGGTGAGTGACAGCAGTACTGAACCTTTAACCCTAACAGCGTCCCCTCCTTCGAATGACATGCTTCACCTCCGTGTGTGTGCTGCTCCTGAAAGAAGGCGGGACCTTTGGAAATGACGGGGGCACCTGTAGGGACCCACTCCACTTGCTCCTATATCCCCAGCAGCCACACTCCACTCACTATCGCATTTCCCAGTACAGCCCCGTAACCAACCCGTGTCAGGAACAAGGAAGGGAGTCCACGGAGAAATGGGGCCTCTCTCCTTTACTGATGCTTTGAGCAAACCAGGAAAAAGAGTAGGTGGATTTGCCTGTGTTCACGCACCATGGGAATGAACAGAGAATGAGACTACAGGTGCCGAGTGAGCCCGCGAACATCTGTTTCCACACCGACCGTAAAACCTTTGTTTTTATGCCGAGAAAGCATCTCTGTCTTCTAGTGTCCAAGCCACTAGCGGCACCAGGGTGGACTATTAATCCTCTGTGCTGTCTTTTCTAATTAACTTCACTCTGCAATTCCTCCAGAGTCATGTCCCATCGCATGCTTCACAGAAAAATAAAATAATCACAATTCTCTGCTTATCGTTTGGGGAAAGGTAGTCAGCTAGGAAGGCAATGCACAGATGTCTGACGAGGTAGAGCCATTTCTTCTCATTGCCTGTCCACCAGGTAACTATTCCCCATGAATGAATATATATACATATATATATATTTTCATGGGGAAAAGTTACATAATTATATATATAATGTTAATAATTATATAATGTTATATAATTATATATAACATTATATAATTATATATATATACATATATATATAAAATGTTAAAAGATGGCCATTGTTCTAAATGAACTCTGCTCCATCAATCTCTGAAAGCTGTGTTTTACTTTTTTTTTTTTTTTTAATCCTCACCTGAGGACATTTTTCTATTTTTTGTTCAGATAGAGCAGGAGGGAGAGAGAGGAAGAGAGAGAGAGAGAAACATCGATGTGAAAGGGACACATCGAGTGGCTGCCACCCGCACGACCAACCAGGGCCGGGGACAAACTGCAACCGAGGTACATGCCCTTAGCGGGAACCGAACCCGGGTCTCTCTGGACCGCAGGCCAACACTCCAACCGCTGAGCCAAATCGGCCAGGGCTGAAAGCTGTGTTTTAAAAAAAACCCTCTTTTAAGTGGCTCTAAGACACAAAAACATTTAAGGGAACCTCAAGCTGAGGGTGCTCAGTATTCAGTGAGGCCTCCAGCAGGGGCTTTTCTTCTGCAAAACAGAAAGATTTCGAGAACTCATGAAACCCCACGATCTGTTCTGTATTTGCATAGAAAATGCAAATGTGATTTTTTAAATTGACCTTAACAAATAAAGAGAAGAAGCACCCCATGAGCTGGGGAAGGCGTGGTGCCCACTGCAGCGTGCTCAGGTAAACCGTGTCTCCAAGGGAGTTAAAGGAGCCTACGGTTTTCTAGGGACCTCGTGAAACTTTCCCTAGAAAACGCCACCGGAGGTGCGAGACGTGGGCCCTAGAGGCAGGAAGCCAGAGAGGTTCCCAGTGTTGCTTCTAGGGAGATCTGATTACCCTCCGACCACGGTGTGCCTTGCTGTTCACGAGAACCGTGACTCTCCAGCCTCCCGGGCTTCGGCTGTTCTGGGTGACCCAGCATGCCCCTGTGCGTCCCATCGTGTGTGCATAAGAGGACGAGGTTGTTTTTCCAGTGATGACAAATTATCCAACATTTTTCTATGACCTTCGAGAAGCGAAATAGTCAAGGGCTCTCCCTCGGGGTTCATTGATCTTATTTATATGATTGTAAATTGCAATCCAAAACTAAGTAATAAATTAGTAAGAAAGGTGTCATCCTGGGATAGTGTTTATTATGGACCCCGGGACCACTGTTAATTCATCTTTCAAATGCCTTGCTGTGCCATTTATGGGGCAAAGCTCCCTTGGTCCCTTGGGGTCATTGGTTTAGGCCTGAGAGATGTTGGGGAATTCTGTGGTGTGATTGGCAGAACCTCCAGTCATGTGATGGTGTGAGCCCTCTCATTGGCCTGCTGTGCAGTCACACTGCTGGTACTGCCCTCCCACAGATTCTTCCGGAATCTCATGTTTTGTCTAAAGATTGGCAAATGCTTTGGCGTTCTTAGCAAAGGCCCAGTCTTATTTAATTCTTTTGTGTCACAATTATTAAGAAGGTAAGATCTTAATTACTCAAGTCATTAGACCTTATATTTCCAAGTTAATCTGATACACTCTCACAGGATATTTCCAAGTTAATATCTTTCCCTGTGCAAAGAATTCATCTGCAAAGATGAGTGCATTTGAGGAAAAAAAGAGAGAAGGTCTGATTCTAGCAATTCCTGGCTCAGCTTAGCCAACGAGAGAGCGTGGGCCAGAACGTGATTTCACTGTAGCAATGCTGTTCAATTTCAGGAGACCAGACTGGCATCCTGTTTCCGCAGTGAAAATGAAACAATTTTGTTGGCACAAAGAAAAATAGTTTTAAGTATAAAATAATTACTGCCATTAAAACGATCAGAATGAATGGCCTTATCTATAATATTATAATTATACCCAAAATATAGTTTCCTAGTTTTAAGTATAAAATAATTACTGCCATTAAAACGATCAGAATGAATGGCCTTATCTATAATATTATAATTATACCCAAAATATAGTTTCCTAAAATCTCAGACTGGGAATGTCATATATATTCATGGGAAATCTCTTCCTGGTCTACTATGCACTTGCGTTATTAAACAAACGCTTACCAGAATAACTTTGCTTTTCCTATAGTTTAAATCAGCCTAATTTAAATGTTCTCACTGAGCCTTTGAAAGAGTCGACTCAGGTTTGTAGATTGACCGATTCCTCGGGCTACCGTGAAATCCCAGTTCATAGTATCAGGAATGGAAGTTTCATATTGGCCATGTTTATGTCCGTTCGTATGACCCGGAGCGGATTCCCATGAGGGGTCTATTGGATGCACACGCCCCAGGCAAGCAGGAGAGGATGTCATAGAAACAAGGTTGGATAATTGGGTCATGACTGGTTTCATATCACTCTGCTTAACATTGCTCCGCATTCCTGACTGGATACAGAGGCAACTGCAAAACACTTGAACACGCCCTCGAGCTCAGACCTGCACTGGGCTCTGCGCGACCAGTCGTCCGAGAGAAAGGAAACCACACCTAAATTCTCTCCCGGTATTTTTACCATGAAAACTGGAAGTGCCATTGAGCTCTCCTTTCAGATGAACCAAGTGGCATGTAAGCAATCTCTTGGTTTTTAAAGAAAAAAACAACAAAAAAGAAGCCATCATAATTGCTCAAGGCATCAAGGGCTTACCGTCCTGGTGAGGCGTCCCCAGGCCCCGAATCTGACATTCCGCTTTGCGGCTGTGCATTTGGACAAGGAAAATGCTTGTAGTCACTTGAGGACAGTAAGAGAGATGCCCAAGAAGGAGACTCATCTTTGGGCCTTGGCCAACGCCCGCCTCTATCTTCCCTGTAGGTACGATGATGCCCTGAAACCGCATTGCCCTCCACATGTGGTAGAAATGTCTAGAACACACACCCACCTTTTTGCCCATGGAAAAGCGAATGTGCTCCCTAGGCAGACGGCGGGGCGACAATGGGAAAGGAAGGTCCCTCGCCGACACCACCGAATCTGAGAGTTGCCTCTTATCCTTCCGGAATGCGGAACGAAAAGAGAATTTCACGTTCCTTAATCGACATGTGTTTTGTGTGTCTGTATTTAGTGTTTCTCACTGGTTTCCAAAGAAACACGTCAGAACCCCGAGCGACGCATGTGGTCACGTGTTCTAACGCTTTCACGTTTTTTTGCATTTCTCTCTTTTAAAGCACAAGACTCTGCTGACATTGTTTTCCTTATTGACGGATCAAACAACACCGGAAGTGCCCATTTCACAGTCATTCGAGACTTCCTGGTCAATCTCCTTGAGAAACTGCCAGTCGGAACTGAGCAGATCCGAGTGGGGGTGGTGCAGTATAGCGATGAGCCCAGAACCATGTTCTCCTTGGACTCCTACGCCACCAAGGCTGAGGTTCTGGAGGCGGTCAAGGCCCTTGGGTTCCTGGGCGGGGAGTTGGCCAATATTGGCTTCGCCCTTGATTTCGTGGTGGAGAATCACTTCACCCGGGCAGGTGGCAGCCGAGTGGAAGAAGGGGTCCCCCAGGTGCTGGTCCTCATAAGTGCCGGGCCTTCTAGTGACGAGATCCGCGACGGGGTGGTGGCGCTCAAGCGGGCTGGCGTGTTCTCGTTCGCGCTGGGAGCCCAGGCCGCGCCCAGGGCAGAGCTCCAGCACGTAGCCACCCATGACAGCTTGGTGCTGACGGTCCCGGAACTCCGTAGCTTGGGGGACCTCCAGGAGCAATTACTGGCGTACATTGTGAGAGTGGCCCAGAGGCTCATTGTCTTGCAACCGCCAACCATTGTCACAGAAGGTACGTATGCCCGTCCCGCCACCCGAGGGGGACGGGGTGTTCTGTGTGTCGGTGTTTGTGGAAGGAAGGCGGGCGCCTCCCGGAACGATTCGCCTCAGGAGCACCTGTAAGTACCGCAGCCGGGTCCCCTCCAGGTGAGCGGGCTCTGGGACGCGATGTCTGTGATGGCTGGTTTCTAAAAGGCGGAGGACGGACGAGTGAGGGTGGAGAGCCCCCGGAGGACCGGGGGTCGGAGAGAAAGAGCTTCCAAGGCCAGCTCAACAGACCTGTTCTTCCGGGAATCACCGTGTTCTCCCCTGAGAGTGCAGTCGGGCTGAGCAGGGATCTCAGGGGCTCGGTGCTATCCCGAGAACGGCCCTGGGGAGTCAGCACCTTACAGGTACACTCACAGATATGGGGGCTGCCCCCCAAGTCCCCTGTGTGCTGGTGTGGAGAGGTGTGCCGTGCAGGTGAGCCATGCCCCAGCACTCACCTGGCGCACAGCTCAGGGCCAGCTTCCGGCAGGGTTAGGACTGGTTCTTCTGAGCAGAGACACTCCAACATAGTCTCAAGGGAGGGTCCTTGGCAAAAAGTCCAAGTGGAGTCATGTAAAAAATACAGAACCAGTCCAGTCCCATAAATACACGCATGACAGCTGTGGAAGCGGAGTGTACCATTTACGTGAGGATACGGTGGTGCTGGGTGCCCGGCAGGGGAAGAGCTGCAGACACAGGTGTGCCACGTGGCATGGACGGGGCATCCCCTCTGTCCACCAGGGATCGTGTTCCCAAGGGGACCAGGCATCAATTCGAGGGGTGTGACATTATATCCTGAAGGCCCTCTCGGTGTTCCCCAGACCTCGCTCTGGTTGAAATACAACCTGCCGAGGTTCCCGGGGTTGCACGCCTGAGCACAGACACACGGCTCGCCCAGGTGTCGTGAACACCGCCGGGGCGCAGGGCTGCGGGGTGCTGGCTGGCGGCGGAGGGGGTCCAGCAGGGGAGGACAGTCCTGTTCCAGGGGGGCTTCAATTCCTTTTCGTTCTGGGCAGTGCGTTGCCCTCGTTTGGTGTCCCCAAAGTAACTAGCGGATCGAGCGCCAACTCCTCGTGTACAAACATCACCTTTAATCTTTGTGATCAGTTTGTAAATATTTGGCAGACACTCGACTGTCTGGTGTGAGCCAGATGGAAGGGCAGGCCCTGGAGACAGGGCTGGTGGCCGAGACCAGTGTGGCCGCTGGCCCGTCAGGGTAGACCAATGCCCACACCAGTGTCCCCCGAGGTGGACGAGGACACGCCGGGGGCTGTCATGGAGGAATGGGTCAGAGTTTGGCAGAGTGGTCAGGGCAGGTGGCCTGCAGTCACCTGAAGAAAGGCCAGCAGGGGAGGGGCAGCGGGAAGACAGTCCCGGGTACACCCCGCAGCGAAGAGGAGCCGGGCCCCCCAGTGGGAAGAACTGAGAGGCACAGACAGCTTTGTTGTGGGCACAGGCTTGCGAGGAGCTGGGTGCCCACATGCATGGGGCTGGGAGGAGCAGCCGGTGAGGGGGGACAGAGTGTGGGGTGCTGGGGGCCGGTGAGGACAGTGTCTTCAGGAAGTCCAGCGCAATGCGTGGGCACCGGGCCCTGTGACTCAGGACTGTCCAGCTGCCTGGGAGTGAGAGGAAGGGAGGGCGGGACGAGGCTTTGTCAGGAGACGTGACGGAGGAAGGGCCAGAGCACCGAGGGCAGGCCCCGGAGACGGACAGAGGCACGCGAAGTGGGCAAGGGGCCGACGGGAGCCCGAGTGAGCACATCGGGGCTCCAGGTTGGCGGGAGTGGTGGAGTCTGAGGGGGCTGGAGGGACGAGGCCAGGGGACAGGGAGTGAGATTTCAGAGTGATGTCTGCGGACCCCTAGACCCAGGTGCTGGGGACAGGAGGCCATGGCTGAGTCACTGCAAAGAGGAGGCTAAGAAGAGCCCCGAGCCCCCCTGAGAGCAGGGTGGACAGGAGCCAGCAGCGAGAAAGGCCATGGGCCTGGACAGTGGGGGACGGTCTGCTGGGAAACAGGACAGTCGCCCGTCCTGGCTGCGGGCGGCAGGGAGGCGGGTCTCGGGACACGGTGTTGGTCAACAGGAAGGTGCAGGCAACAGGTCAGCCGGAGCTCAGGTGCCCCTCCCAACAAGGGGCCCGCGTGGGGTGGTGCCTGGTCAAGAAAGAGGGGGTCCCACTGCAGGACGGGGGGGCATGCCGAGGGTGAGCTGGGACCGGCGGTGGGCGTCGGTCTGGCTTTCTGGTCACACAGCACGTGGGTGCTCACCTCTCCCTGAGTACAGGAAACCACATCAGCCTCAGCCCTCCGTCTGTGGGTGTCAGGGATGTGTGCGTGAGTGTGTGGGCCTAGGGGTGCCCGCTGTCCCGTCCGCGTGTGAAGAGCACGCCTGTGGCTGTCCGTGTGGCTGCATACGTGTCCTCCACGGAGCGAAGGAGGGGCGAGGAGAGGGCGTGGGTCAGCAGCTCGTGCCGTGAGACTCCCACACGCCTGTCGGTCTCCACGGGAGCCCACGACTTGCAGTATATTATTTACATCATGACTTGGCCCCAAAGCCTCGGTCCCCATGTGCCTGCTCCCAGTGCTTGGGGTCTGTGTGTTCTCTTAGAGAGGAGAGTACGGACCCATCAACGTCCGTCTAGTCGCCCGTCTAGCGAGTTAGGGTCAGTGTGTGCATTTGGCAGTAGGTGTTCACGAAGCCAAGACTGTGACGCAGAAGGGCCTCTGAGTTGTCACTGATCACCGCTCCAATGATCTGAGCCATGGCTTCTTCACGGCCTCGGAAACCCAAGCCTTAGATTTATGGCTGAAAAGACCTTCTTGACATTTTAAGTGACAACATGCTAAAGAGGTGGCCACTAAACCTAAATCTATTTCTGGGCAACAGGTTGGTAAGATGTGCCCAGTGGGTGGGGGATGGGCGGGGAGCCCAACCTGCTGTCCGGTAGGGAAGGACACGCCATCTGCCAGGACAAGCTCCCCGCTGAGCCAATGCAAACCTCTTTGGGTGGAAGGAGCCGGGTAGAGTCCTAGTTGGATGTGGCTAGTGAGACTGTGCTACTCACTTTCTGACGTTGCTGTCCACAGTCGTCGAGGTCAACAAGCGGGACATCGTCTTCCTGGTGGATGGCTCGTCGGGCCTGGACCCGCCCAACTTCAGCGCCATCCGCGACTTCATCGCGAAGGTCATCCAGAGGCTGGAAATCGGGCAGGATCTCATCCAAGTGTCGGTGGCTCAGTACGCAGACACGGTGAAGCCCGAGTTTAATTTCAATGCCCACACGAGCAAGAGGGAAGTCATCACCGCCCTGCGGAGAATGAGGCCCATGGGGGGCTCGGCCCTGAGGACCGGCTCCGCTCTGGACTTCGTTAGGAACAACATGTTCACCAGCTCGGCCGGCCACCGGGAGGCCGAGGGGGTCCCTAAGCTCTTGGTGCTGTTCACAGGCGGCAAGTCCCTAGATGAAGTCAGCCAGCCGGCCCAGGAGCTGAAGAGGAGCCGGGTCCTGTGCCTGGCCGTTGGGAGCAAAGCCGCCGACCAGGCTGAGCTGGAGGACATGGCCTTCGATTCGTCCCTGGTGTTCAAGCCGGCCGAGTTCCAAGTTGCCCCTCTGCAGAGCATGCTGCCCAGCTTGTTGGCGCCTCTCAGGACCCTCTCCGGAACTGAAGGTACGGTGGGGGCGGGGGTACCAGGCATGCCATAGGGTGGCCTCCAGGGGAGCCTTGGAGAAAGGAGACCGAAGGGAGCTCTCCTTGTGTCCAGTTAGGAGACCACTCTAAATGTCGATGCAAGAGAGGCAGACAGGACGGATTTCACGTTTCCGTGTCCCCTGAGCAGGGACGGAGGGACGGGGCCGCCCTGTGATACAACTGCATGTCTCACGGTGCCACGCAAATGTCACAAACTAAGAACCGTCTGATTTAATGTAGGGTCAGGCGGCCTGTCTTGGGGGCTTTCAGCTGAGGAGGTCATGTCTCCATCCCTGTCCCTCGTGAAGTCCCAGTGTGCTGTTTGTCCTGGTGACATCTGTCCGACCTCCTTCTCCCAGCACCAAGCTGCAGCCTGGAGCTCCTCTCCGGCGCTGATGGTCCTCTCCTAAGGGACCCGACCCCGCCTAGTGCAGGACATGAGCCCTCCTCCTCCCTCTCGAAGGGGTTTCCTGCCATGCAAAGCGTAGAGAGGGGCACGAAGAGAGAAACACAGTGGCTCTTCAGATCCCTCGTTTAACGTGATGATCAGCGGGAAGTTACTTTAAAAAACATCCGAGCAGCCTAGGGGCTTAGGAGTGAGTAAGTGTGACGCGCTCTCCTTAAAGAAGATGAATATCATGGAGACAAGCTTTTCCGCCACCAGCTTGACCACTGGAAGAGTGTGCAGTACATGACCTGTGTTGCCTGGCCCATGTTGTATGACACACATTGCATGACCCATGTTGCATGACCCATGTTGCACGACTGCATGCTTTCTCCTTGGCTCTCCGATCTTCTGAAACCCCCTCCTCTTTCCGTCTGTCTTTCTCTCTGTCTGTCTCTCTCGCTTTTGTTCTCTTAAAAATTCCACTCCGTGCTCTCGTGGCCACAGTACGATGGGTAGAACACAGGATAAAATCAGTGGCTGGTTTAAATTTCAGTGAGCCACCAGGGAAGGGATGGGAAGGACTTTCTTCAAAGGGCATGTACTCAGCCTGTTGGGGAAACACTCTAACCGGAGAATCCCACTTCTGACTCTTCATGTGTACAGCCCCAGCCAAGCACAGCAAGTAGACTGTGTTTTAACATGTTTCCGGGATCCTGTGACCTCATCCCGGAAGAGTGCCCATGGGCACCCTGTTGGATTGCCGCCTGGCAACCCGTGGCGCCCCCGGGGAACGAGGGCGGTAGGAAAGGACATGTGGGTGCTCCTGGGAGTCCCTCAGATGGGAACTGACCGAGGTCACTGAGCTTTCCAGTCATGAGGGTCTCAGGCCAGCTTGGGTGGACGCTTCCCAGGCACCTGTCAGGGAAGCCTCGTGAAGGGGTGGAGGTGAACCCCGAGGGCCCACTGCACACACGTGGTCACAGACACGAGTGGGGCAAAATGCCACAGCACCCTCGCAGAATTCATTCCCGGGGGAGGGTGTTCGGGTTCGAGGACCCCGATCCTTCGGTCGGAAGCATTCTGCCTCTGGCGCCGTGTCTCTCTGTGAGCCAACCTGGTCTCGTAAACTTGTCTGTCGATGTGTCGCAGAAACACCAGCCGCCCGGAGCGGCGTGCGTGGCCCCCGCCACGGTCCACGAGATGGCGCGCTTTGCCTCCGCGATGTCCCGTGTCCTGTGTGTCGTCACGCGTGCACTCGCTGCAGGCACACGTGCGTGCGTGCATCTCACCATGTTCTCTGTGCTTCACCGCAGTTCACGCAAACCAAAGGGATATCATCTTTCTTTTGGACGGATCGGTCAACGTCGGAAGGACCAACTTCCCCTACGTGCGGGACTTTGTCGCGAACGTAGTTAACAGCCTCGATGTTGGGAGTGACAGGACCCGAGTGGGCTTAGTGCAGTTTAGCGACTCCCCGGTCACGGAGTTCTCCCTAGACACTTACCAGAGCAAGGCCGACCTGCTGGCGCACCTGCGGCGGCTGCAGCTCCAGGGGGGGGCGGGCCTGAACACAGGCTCCGCCCTGCGCTATGTGCATGCCCACCACTTCACCGAAGCCGGCGGCAGCCGCATCCGCGACGGCGTGCCGCAGCTCCTGCTCCTGCTCACGGCCGGGCGGGCCGAGGATGCCTTTGTGCCAGCGGCCAGGGCGCTGGCCCAGGAGGGCGTCCTGACCTTCTGTGTGGGAGCTCCCCAGGCCGACAAGGCCGAGCTCGAGCAGATGGCCTTCAACCCCAGCCTGGTGTATCTCACGGACGAGTTCAGCTCCCTGCCCACTTTGCCGCAGCAGCTCATTCAGCCCCTGACCACGTATGTTAGTGGAGGTGTGGAGAAGTTCCCACTCACCCAGCCAGGTAACGCCCCCCACCGCGCCGGGCCCCCCCCCACCTCCCCGGCAGGCAGGTGGCCCGACCCGAGCTCAAGAGCATGGTGAACTGCGGGAACTCGGTGGACTCCCTCTGGCTGGTGTAGTCGAGGGGGTTTGAGACACTGTACCAGCAAGGTCGCGTTCTCTGTCTGAAGGTGTTCGTTCCTGAAACAGTCTGGACAATGCGGCTCACGCTCCGCAGATCTTAGCCCACCCTTCACTCATAGCTGTGAGGATGCTGGGGAGCAGGCCCGGGTGTGAGTGAGAGGGTGCAGATAGAGACGGGTTCCCCGTCACACGTGAGGACCCCCACTAGAAATCACAGTGCTTTTCCTAAACTGACATTTAAAAATATATGTTTTTTTTCCTTTATTGATTTTACAGAGAGAGGAAATGAGAGTGAGAGAGAGAGAGAAACATTGATGAGAGAGAACATCAATTGGCCGCCTCCTGCACGCCCCCCACTGGGGATTTGGGCAAGTGCCCTGACCGGAAATCGAACTGGTGACCTTTTGCTGCAGGGTCGACGCTCAACCACTGAGCCACACCAGCCGGACTAAACTGGCATTTTTTTCATGTTCAGAATCTGCTGTATGTAGAAATGTATTTGTTGTCAATGCCACCAAGGTTGCTGCCGTTGTCACGGTGACATGATTGGCAAAGGAAGCCTGGTTTCTTGTTCCCACTGCAAATGGGCACGGTGGTGAGGGGCGCACGTCCAGCGTGCTGACTCCGCACGCCGGGCGGGAGACGGAGGCGGTCATCCTTGTTTTCTTGTGTAAATGCAGCAGTTTGGAAAGTAGGGACAGAGAGCCTGTTTCACAGAACAATGACGGACACTGTTTTGGGTCCTGATCCGTAACCTCCAACTTCATGCAAAGATAATCCCGTTATAGCTGGTGTATTCATCTTGACTCAGTTATCCCTGGGTGATCGACCCATATCAGCCTTTGTCAGTAGAGGTAGGTCAATTTTTTAAAAAATATGTTTTTATTGATTTTTTTTTTTTGTAAGAGAGAGAGGAAGGGAGAGAGAGATAGAAACATCGATGTGAGAGAGAAACGTTGATCAGCGGCCTCCTGCACGCCCCCTATTGGGGATCCAGCCTGCAACCCTGGCAGGTGCCCTGACTGGGAGTCCAACCAGAACCTCTCAGTCCCTGGGACAGGCTCCATCCACTGAGCCACACTGCCCGGGCTAGGTAGGTCGATTTTTAAGCAAAAGGACAATAAGGACCACATGTTCGATAGTTCAGTTTAGACGTTTGGGAACACTGTCCTCCTGGAAGCTCACACCGCTCTGGGCTCTCCCGTCTGGCTCTGCTGAAGAAACACGCTGCCAGAGTGTAGACGCGTCCTGTTCCTCGGGTCCTTTGCCGTGTGCTCTACTTTGAGACGGACATTTTACGGACAGCTGCTGAGGGTTCGGTCTTCCCTTGCTGGTACAGTGATCGTCAGAGGAATTGCAAAACCCCCGTAGGCGAATGTCGGTGCTGCTGGGCTGAAGTCAGTGTGGCCCCTGTTATGTTTTTGAGCCTCATGGTGTCCTGACTCCTCTTTCTTGTAGAAAGCAAGCGAGACATTCTGTTCCTCTTCGATGGCTCGGCCAACCTCGTGGGCCAGTTTCACGCTGTCCGAGACTTCCTCTCCAGGGTGATCGACGAGCTGGACGTGAAGCCGGAGGGGACCCGGGTGGCCGTGGCTCAGTTCAGCGACGATGTCAAGGTGGAGTCCCGTTTTAACGAGCACCAGACTAAGCCTGAGATCCTGAATCATGTGAAGAAGATGAAGATCAAGACGGGCAAAACCCTCAACCTGGGCTACGCGCTGGACTATGCGCTCAGGGTCATTTTTGTGAAGTCCGCCGGAAGCCGAATCGAAGACGGGGTGCCTCAGTTCCTGGTGCTGCTGGTGGGCGGAAGGTCGTCAGATCCGGTGGAAGAACAGGCCCGCCGGCTGAATCAGAGCCCCGTGGTGCCCTTCATATTACAGACCAGGAACGCCGACCGTATCCAGTTAGAGCTGCTGGTCCCGTCCTCTTCCTTCATCCTGGTCACAGAGTCGATTCCCAAAATTGGGGAGCTCCAACCACAGATTGTGAACCTCTTAAAGACGGTGGATAACGGGGCGCTGATTTCAGGTATGAAATCCCGGCTGCGTCTGCAGCTCAGCTCCGCAGGGTGTGGGTTGGTGTTGGGCTGCCGGCTGCGGGCCCTCAGGGGAGGCGGAACCTCCGGACATGGTTTCTGCAGGAACAATGGAAGATGACTTTCCGTTCCCCCTTGGACTCTCTCTTCGTTAGGGCAAAACAGGAGAATCAGGGTGATGAATATTACTATTTTTTAAATATGTATTTTTTCTCTATTGATTTGAGAGAGAGAGGAAAGAGAAGGAGAGAGAGAGATAAAAACACCGATGAGAGAGAACATCGATTGGCCGCCTCCTGCGTGCCCTCCACCGGGGATCGGGCCCACAACCTGGGCACGTGCCCTGACCGGGAATCGAACCACGACCTCTTGGTGCAGGGTCGACGCCCAAACACTGAGCCACACCGGCCGGGCCCAGGGTGATTATTTTGAAGGACTTTAGAGTATTTCACAATAAGACACATGATAAAGATTTAGACATATTCGTGGTTAAAAACCTTTTTTTAGAACTCTGGTCGGTTTGGCTCAGTGGTTAGAGCATCGGCCCACGGATCAAAGAGTCGTGTGTTCGATTCCAGTCAAGGCCATGTACCTCGGTTGCGGTTCGTCCCTGGCCCTGGTCGGGGTCATGCAGGAGGCAACCAGTTGATGTGTCCCTCTCACATCGATGTTTCTCCTTCCCGCCACCGCCACTGTACAGGAAGATAAGTGGAGGTGGAAAATATTCTCGGTGAGGATTAAAAAAAAAGAGTAAAAATCCTTTTAAGAAACACGATTTTTACTCTGTATGGAAGGCACCCGACAGGGTCACACTGTAGTGATGCCCACCTTCGTCTTCATCCCTGTCTGGCGTAGTGAGTGTCACTGTCAGAATTCCCTTCCTACACGGGAACACAGAGCATGATGGGAGACAGAGCCGTTCCCAGCACCAACCGTGGGAACAGGTGTCGTCGACAGCGCCCTGCCTTCGTGTTCAGTCGCGGTTCCTCTGCCGACACAAACACAGTGACCAGAGGGATACATTCCGTGTAGAACCCTTTGCTTACAGACTGAGAATCTGTTCTTTCTGTGCCGACCGCTGGGCCCACATACAGTTGATTTGGGACGGGGACCGGACATCTGGGTTGCATCCCCTTCACGGACCCGCTGTGACTGGCAGCAAATGATTGGGAACTGCCACGTGCCACCTGGTGACTGTGAGGCAGGCTCTGCCCCCCGCTGTCTCCGGGCCCCGGTGTCTCCTCGAGTCCCCTTTGAAAGGGAACAAGCCCCCAAATGAAAGGGCTTCCTGTGTGAACCGGTGAGCTCCTGTCCTGGGGCTGCTGGAGCGACTCAGCACATCGGAGAGGCTTGGAGCAAAATTCACGCGGCATCCTACAGTTTCAGGGGCTGGGCGTGCAGAGCCAGCTCCGCGGGGCTAGAACCAAGGGGTCGATAGGACTGCGTCTGCCCTGGAGGTTCTGGGGACTGTCCGTTCCCTGGCCTTTCCGGCTCCCCGAGGCCGCCTGCGGTCCTGGGTTCGTGGCCCCTTCTTCCGGCTCCCACGTCTCCTCGGACCTCTGTTTGCGGCCTCGGGGCTTCTCCCTCTGAATCTGACCCCCTTGTCTCCTCCCTCCTGTAAGAACGTCCCCAAAGTCAAGGCCTGGGGATTCCACACTGAACATGTTTGTGGGGCCACTATTCAGCCCAGTGCAGCGGGCAGGAAAGTGTCCCTCTCGTGTCTGTGGGTGTCATCGGGCTGTCTTCCTCCCATTTTCAGGTGAAAAGGACGTGGTGTTTCTGCTCGACGGCTCAGACGGGGTCGGGAGTGGCTTCTCTCTGCTGAAAGATTTTGTCCAGAGAGTGGTGGAAGGGCTGGACGTGGGCCCGGACCGCGTCCGGGTGGCCGTGGTGCAGTACAGTGACCGGACCAGGCCCGAGTTCTACCTGAATTCATACATAGACCAGCAGGGCGTGGTCGATGCCGTACGCAGGCTGTCCCTGCTGGGGGGACCCGTCCCCAACACCGGGGCTGCGCTGAACTTCGTCCTGCGCAACGTGCTGACCGGCTCGGCCGGGAGCAGGATGGCGGCGGGCGTGCAGCAGCTGCTGTTCGTCCTCACGGCCGACAGGTCTGGCGATGACGTGAGCGGCCCCTCGGCGGTGCTGAAGAGGGGCGGGGCGGTGCCCGTCGGCATTGGCATCGGAAACGCCGACCTCACGGAGATGCAGACCATCTCCTACGTCCCGGACTTCGCCGTGGCCGTTCCCACCTTCGGGCAGCTGGGGGACATCCAGCAGAACGTCCAGAGGGTGGCCCGGCTCAGCACCGAGGACATAATCAAACTGCGAGGTGAGGAGGGGGCTCCGGGGTCCCTGTTCCTTGAAACATCTGGGGCGACTTGTTGGGACCGGGGTGTTCTCAGTTTTCTTTCCTTTGCCGTATGGGGTGCCAACTGGAATTCCCTGAGTTGGGAACTGTGTTTGGTCCTGGGGGCCAGAAATGGCAGAGGCCTGGGGAGATGCTGAGGTTCATGTTTTTGGCCAAATTAAAGTCTGACAGAAGGGCCTGTTACTCGCTCATCGTGTAGCCTCCCAACCCTGCACAACGAGAGGTGCGGGGATCTGAGGGCGGGGCCCCCCACCTCGTTGGCCGCAGGGGTTCCTTCAGGGTGGGTCTAAGCTGCCCGGGAGGCCCAGCCAGCTGCCTTCCGTGACCAGTCTGGGAAATGTTGGTATTTCCAGAGCTGAAGTGTAAAGACTGCTTTCGAATTTGCTTGGTGCTGAGAAGGGTCTTAAGTGACCGGAAAACCACCTGGTTGTATGGCTGCAGTTTATTCTTCCCCCACGTTCTGGGCCTGGTTACAGTGGGAGCCGGCCACTGAGAAGGAAGGGGTCTGAGACATGTCCACCCCTCGGAAAACATCCCGCAGGGCCCCTGGGGGGGGGGCGGACAGCCATAATGGCCAAGGGGCTTCTCCTTGGGGCTCACGTTCCACAGAACAGCACCCACAGCCTCAGGGAGTGGGGGGGGGGAGGGAAGAGACCAATCAAGTGAGAAAGTCAGGTGCAGGACCCATGCCCTTGGGTGAATGGGGGGTGGGCAGGGTGACGGACACAGTGCGACGAGGGGTCAGCTTCTCCTCACCAGAATGTTCTGAAGGGTTTGTCATCAGATATACGTGGGCAGTGGCGACATAAACAGAGGGAAAGAGGTTTCTGCCCTCACTCCGTGCCCACGTCTGCAGGGGCGCGGGGGCGCAGGGGCGCAGAGGCACGTGCTGCAGGGGCCCTGTCGCGGGGTGCCTGTGGAGCCCCAGTGTTCGGGTGCCACTGGCAGTGCCGGGCACAGAGTCCAGCTTCTCTGCTGCCGCACAGGGCTCCTGCCCGTCCACTCCCTCTCGTCCAAGGACGATGTCCTTCCTGTCTCCCCACCCCGTGTCTTCCGTGCTCCCCTCCTGCAGCTCACTCTGCGGTGAGCTCCCGCACCCTCCACGACTGCGCTCCGCACCCACCTCATCCTGCCCTCACTCTGCGGCTCCACACGGAGCGTGCTCCTCAGGGCCCCTGCCCCTGGCCGAGCCCGGTCTCTTCTTCCTGTCACCGCCCAGGGGCCCCCTCCCCGCACCACCCCGCTGCATCCGCAGTGCTAGTCCCGGCCTCCCTCCGAGTCACCCTCCCTTGTTCTTTGCGGGGTCCTCCTCTTCCTGACTTGTCCTCGCTCTGCTAGGACTCACGCATTTTAACCACAAGACTTAGAATTAGGATACTTCGCCCGCCGGGTGGCGATTCCATGACAGCCCGGGAGGTGGTTTGCTGATGCTGAAAAGTGGACGAAGGCGAAACCCACGCTGTCTTTGGATTGCAGGCGCAGGCGGCAAGAAAGATGTGGTCTTTCTCATCGATGGGACCCAGCGCGCGGGCCCCGAGTTTCCGTACATCCGCATCCTCATCGAGAGGCTGGTCGACGCGCTGGACGTGGGCTTCGACACCACCCGGGTGGCGGTCATCCAGTTCAGCGAGGACCCACGGGTGGAGTTCCTGCTCAACGCCTACACCAGCAAGGAGGAGGTGCGGAACGCCGTGAGGCAGCTGCGGCCCAAGGGCGGCCGGCAGGCCAACCTCGGGGCCGCCCTGGAGTACGTGTCCAAGAATATCTTTAAGAGGCCCCTGGGGAGCCGGATTGAAGAAGGCGTCCCTCAGTTCCTGGTCCTCATTTTGTCCGGGAAATTGGGGGATGAGGTGGACGACGCGGCCGTTGAGCTCAAGAAGCACTATGTGGCGCCATTGACCATCACGAAGGACAGGGACCTGGAGGAGCTGGGGAAGATCTCCCTGAGCCCCGAGTACGTGTTCTCAGTGAACACCTTCCGGGAGCTGCCCGGCCTGGAGCAGAAGCTGCTGACGCCCATCACGACCCTGAACTCGGAGCAGATACAGAAGATTCTGGCCAGAACCCCCTACCCTCCCGGTGGGTGTTGCTGTTGTTCTCTGAGAGTTTGGGGTACAAAATAATAGGCTCAGTTGCACTTTGTCCTGGCCCTGGTTGGGTAGTGTGGGTGGCAACCACTTGATGTGTCCCTTTCATATCGATGTTTCTCTCTCCCTCTCCCTCTCTCCCACTCTATCTGAACAAAATATTGAAAAAATGTCCTCGGGTGAGGATAAAAAAAAAGGCTCAAAGAGCCGTGGTCCTCATGATGAGTTACAACAAAATGAAGGCACCTCATGATCGAGCCACTCGGGCCTATTGCTGGTTGCCGGGCGGGGGAGGAGGGAGGACACACAGGGTAGCCAGCCACGCAGTAGCCCCGGATTAGAAAGGACTTCTGATAGGACACGAGCCGAGGATGTTTTTATTGATTTTTAGAGAGAGAGGAAGGGGGAGAGAGAGAGAGTAAAACGTTGATGTGATAGAGAAACATCGATGGGTTGCTTCTCGTACACACCCTGACTGGGGACCAAACCCACAACCTAGGTATGTGCCTTGACAGGGAATTGAACCTGCAGCCTTTTGGTGTACAGGTTGATGCACTAACCAACTGAGCCACTGAGCCAGGGCTAAATGTTTCTTTCATTTATTTAAAATTTTATTTTTATTTTTATTGATTTCAGGGAGAGGGAGAGAGAGAGAGAGAGAGAGAGAGAGAGAAGCATCAATGAGAGAGAACATGGATTGGCCGCCTCCTGCATGTCCCCTACTGGGGATTTGGCCCACAACCTGGACATGTGCCCTCATTAGGAATCAAACAGGTGACCTCTTGGTTCAGGGGTGGACGCTCAAACACTAAACCACACCAGCTGGGCAATGTTGCTTTTATTTTTAAAATTGTTTGTAACCCAGACCGTAAAACTGAAATTAAAGTTGAGTAAACTCAGAACGTTTAGGAAAACTTAAAATATTTCAAGAAGTAGTTACTGTTTGGGTAAAAAAAGCCCACTTTTAATGATTTTTTTTCATAATCCTCACTTGAGGATATTTTTCCATTTATCTTCAGATAGAGTGGGAGGGGGGAGAGAGAGAGAAACATCAACGTGAGAGAGACACATTGACTGGCTGCCCCCCGCACAACCCCGACGAGGCTGGGGACTGAACCACGACCAAGGTACGTGCCCTTGACCAGAATCGAACCTGCGACTCTTTGGTCTGCAGGCTGACGCTCTAACTGCTGAGCCAAACCGGCCAGGCCTGAATGATTCATGTTAAAAAGCCCAAGAGATAAGCGCGGGGGGCTGAGGGGGCAGTTCTAACGGCACTATCACGGCGCAGTGCCAAGCCTGGAATAAGATGCCAGGTTCAGAAACGGCGCTGACTCCAAACAGGCGCGTGTGGCCTGCCCTGAGCTCTCGGGTCTGCCTTTGTCCGCAGTTGTCCACAGCGACGCCGCCGACGTGGTCTTCCTCATCGACAGCTCTGACAGCGTGAGGTCCGAAGGCATCGCCCACATCCGAGACTTCATCATGGGGCTTGTCGGGAGGCTCAAGATCGGCCCCAACAGAGTGCGAGTGGGTGTCGTGCAGTTCAGCAACAACGTCGTCCCGGAGTTCCTGCTGAAGGCCTATAAGACCCAGGCCGAGGTGCTCCAAGCTGTGCGGCGCCTGAGGTTCATGGGCGGGTCTCCGCTCAACACCGGCAAGGCTCTGGAATACGTGGCGAGAAATCTCTTTGTCAAGTCTGCTGGGAGCCGGATCGAAGACGGGGTCCCCCAACACCTGGTTTTGTTTCTGGGTGGAAGGTCCCAGGACGACGTCTCCAGGTTTTCACAGGTGCTACGCTCCTCAGGGATTGTGAGTTTAGGGGTCGGAGACCGGAACATGGACAGGACGGAGCTGCAGACCATCACCAACAACCCCAGACTGGTCTTCACGGTGCGCGAGTTCAGAGATCTCCCCAACGTAGCAGAAAATGTCCTGAACTCGTTTGGACCCTCTGGGGTCACTCCCGCACCTCCGGGAGTGGGCACACCTATGCCCCCACGGACAGGTACGAGCTCTGGGACCCGTGATTACAGCGTGTGATATTGATTTTTTTCAGTCGAGAAATGTAATTAGCATTCATTTGAATAATTTTTGTCTCAGAGGGTTGTTGCTGCCGATGATATTAGACATTAAATACTAGAATAATAATGAGCTGAAATTGCAGAATGAAATATATCTCAGAAAGCATACGGTCACTGATTCTTCTGTGAGACTTCCATGAGCTTCTGTGGGGCTGATGTACCCCACTGAGGGGTTCTGGGAAGGTGCCTTGCGGGGTGACCACAGGCGGCCCTCAGAGGAGGACGAGGACCGCATCACTGACGTTGGCCAATCCATGACCCTCTCTGCTCAGATCTTGACCACTTGGTATAATTAGGAAATTACCCCAAATGCCAGTGATTTTCAGCAGGGTCCCGCAAAGCTCTCAGGATGCTGGCAGGCACCCCCCAAAGGCATGTGGGGTCTGCTCCGCATTTTCCAGTCTGCTTCTGCAGACTGTCCTTGATCTGCCTCTAGCACAGGCCCCGACTCCTACCAGACGTCATCCTTTGTTTTTGACCAGAGACAAGTGTTCAGTGTCTTTCCTAAGACGCCCGAGGCCGTGGACCACTGAGTCCAGAGCAGAGCCCCATGCGGTATGGGGTAACAGGGGCTCCGTCTCACGGAGTTCTCGCCGGTCCTTCCTTTTTTGCTTCAGTGATGCATCCTGTTCCTCCTGGGTTTTGGCCTCGTGTTGCGAGGGCTGTGAATTTGGAACTGTGGAGACGTAGGTCAGCACCCCGCTGTGCACCGTGAATAAGTTACAGGGGTGTCTTAGGTCACTTGTTTGAACTCAGAGCTTGTATATTCGTGTGCGGCTCGGGAGACCCAAGTTCTCCTCGTGTTCGTTTTGGCCCGTCCTAGATAAGAAGAAGGCAGACATCGTGTTCCTGTTGGACGGCTCCATCAATTTCCAGAGACGCAGCTTCCAGGAGGTGCTCCAGTTCGTGTCCGAAATCGTGGACACGGTGTACGGGGAGGGCGACTCCATCCAGGTGGGGCTGGTGCAGTACAACTCGGACCCCACCGACGAGTTCTTCCTGAGGGACTTCTCCACCAAGCAGGACATCATCGACGCCATCAACAAGGTGGTCTACAAAGGGGGGCGGCACGCCAACACCAAGGTGGGCCTTGAGCACCTGCGGGTGAACCACTTCGTGCCCGACGCGGGCAGCCGCCTGGACCAGCGGGTCCCTCAGATCGTGTTTGTGATCACGGGCGGGAAGTCCTCGGAGGATGCTCAGGAGGCGAGCCTGGCCCTCACCCAGAGGGGTATCAAAGTGTTCGCGGTGGGCCTGGGCCATGTCGACTCGGAGGTCGGGAAGATCGCGTCCAACAGCGCCACGGCCTTCAGGGTGGGGAACATCCAAGAGCTGTCGGAGCTGAAGGAGCAGGTGCTGGAGACCCTGGACGACGCCATGCATGAGACCTTGTGTCCGGGGGTGACTGACGTGTCCAGAGGTAACGAACCCCCTTCCTGGGCACACTGTCCATTCCGCCTGTCCAGGTCCCCAGAGCTGCCCTGTGGCTTCCTTAAGCAGGGGGTTCCTTCGTGCATTTCCTCCTGTGCCCGTGGGTCGGGTCCTGGTGGTCACAGTTATGGGGCATTCTTCCAGGGTCAGAGCGGAAGCCTGCCCTTCATGCCCTTGGAAGATGGATTTTTCTCCCTATTCTCTAACCCCCCAAATAATTCAGATCTGCTGATCCCCGGTTCCGTTTGTAGGTTTGTTAGATCGGTCACATGAGACCAGAGTATTTGAGCTCTCAAGTGCAGGGACTTGAGAGGCATCCAAACGGCAGCCGTGTGTCCCGCCCAAATCCATCAGCACGGCGAAAAGAGCACATTGAAAGGCCTGCGGTTTGGGTTCCTTCCAGTGAGCACCAGGGTTCCCTGCGGGAGAGGCGGATGACTGCTCTCAGCGCTCATCTGTAGAGGATCTCACGTCGCCCTTGAGCGCGACGGCCCCGCCCCATCCCCGGGCTGCGCCTGTCCGGCGCACCCGTGGGCACGGGCCGTCTCAGAGCGCTGCCCTGTTTCCCCACAGCCTGCAATCTGGATGTGATCCTGGGCTTCGACGGCTCGAGGGACCAGAACGTCTTCGTGACGCAGAAGGGCCTCGAGGCCAAGCTGGGCTCCGTCCTGAACAGAATCGGCCAGATGCAGGGCCTCAGCTGCAGCGGCGGCCGGATGCCCACTGTGCAGGTGTCCGTGATGGCCAGCACGCCCTCGGGCCCAGTGGAGGCCTTCGACTTCGCCGAGTACCAGCCGGAGCTGTTGGAGAAGTTCCGCAACATGCGCGGCCAGCACCCCTACGTGCTCACGGCGGACACGCTGAAGGCCTACCAGAGCAAGTTCAGGCGGGCGTCGCCCAACAGCGTGAAGGTGAGGCCCGGCCCAGGGCCACCGCGTGCTCCCTGAGCGCCCCGCCGCCGCGACGGGCTGCGGGTGCCCGGGTGAAGGCCCTGATCCAACCCGTCGTGACCCCTGAAGTGTTCCGTCACCCTTCTTTCATTTCAGCGCTAAAAATATCCTAGAAATCAGAAATTAAGCTCCAATAGGTTGAATTTGTGGCGAATTCATAGGTATAGCCCCACCTATTGAATAGTTCTGTTCTCTATACGTGTTTCTCTCTCTGTGTGCACACACGTGTTTACTGTGCACACACACACACATACACTCACTCATGACACCCACACTTGCACACTCATACTCATGCATTCACACACTCACAGTGAAACACACACACACACACACACACAGTTTCCAGAAACGGCATCACAGAACTAGGAGGGTGAGGTAAGCATATTTTCGGGGCTGCTTGTGAGCAAGGAGCTGCGACGTGGTGACTGCGCCTCAGCGTGGCCGTTTTCTCCCCTGTGCGGCGAGGGGTTCGGACGGGCTCGGCTCCCTTGCCGGAGCCTGTGCTGTTTCTGCTCCATCTCGGCTGGCGTTTGATTCGTCTTCCGTTTTCAGGTGGTCATTCACTTTACCGACGGGGCGGACGGAGATCTGGCCGACTTACAAAGGGCGTCGGAGGAACTCCGACAAGAAGGTAGGTTCCGGGGCTGTCTCCACGTGGCAGACGCAGTGCTGTGCCGGAGGGAGGGGACTCGCTCGGGGGTCCGTGGGGCGCAGTCCTCCTCAGCACCGAGGCCTCTGTCGCCCGTCGGGGGCGAAGGGCAGGGGCTCTCGAGGATACCGTATAAACCGCAGCCCGCGTCCAGGCAGGGGCCCTGCAGGTTCCCGGACTCATTCCGGTGGTGCCACGTCTGGAAAGCGTGGTGCTTTTGCAAGAGAACATGAAGATTTGGTTCATTTACCTACATCGCAGAAGCTAGGAATTAACTTCGGAGCAAGAAAGTAGTGCTGTATTTTCAGTTATGACAGCTTGCTGATACTACAGCATTAAGTACACACATACTTTGATACAAAGTAAATTACAGCACACGTTCCGCGTTCAGTGTGACTGGATGAGCCGCGGTGCGCAGATCAGGGGCCGTATTTGTCTGTCCACGGCCTTGGCATTTGGCAGCTCTGACCACCAGAACACTTTGGGTTAAAAAGAATTTATGAAGCGTAAGTTGTTATCATAAGAACATTCTGTTTATCGCCTGTTTACCCCGAGCAACGAGGTGAGAGGACCGGATTGGGGAGGTGTGGCCCCTTTCATTCTTCCCACAGATGACTGTGCAGGTAGGACCAGAATCGGAGGATGTGATATGAACACACTCTGGGGCGCCACTCCCTGTATTTGTACTGACCAGTTTAGTTCTGACGTATCTGAGTCCCAAGCTCTTCAGAGTGGCCAACTAGCTTGATGAAATGTGTTTTAGTTGAAGTCACATCATATGCTGATGTTTTCTTTAAAAAAAAAAGAGGTTATGGCTCTCCGCGCCTGAGTGACCCTTGGGTAACGTGCCCGTCCTCACAGGGGTCCAGGCTCTCATCCTGGTGGGCCTCGAGCGCATAGCCAACTTGGAGCAGCTGATGGCACTGGAGTTCGGACGAGGGTTCATGTACAACAGGCCCCTGAGGCTCAACCTGCTGGACCTGGATTACGAGCTGGCGGAGCAGCTGGTGAGCTCTGGTCCGCACCACAGGCCCGTGGAGATGCCACGGTCATAGCTGGGCGAGGGGAGGGCCCTCTGGGTGGGTGATCGACCCATCACCTACACCTGCGTCCCGCCTTGTGGCCGAGCGTGCGTCCTGGAGTCGGGGATATGCAAGAGCTGGAGGGACGGTGAGCTGGACGACGGGTCCCCAGGGGGACTGCTGTCCCCTTTGCTTGTCCTCTGCTCCCTCGAACACGTGTCTTTCCACCCTGAGACTGCAGAGAAGCCACACAGTGAGCTTGCCCGTTCCCAGCAGCTGCCGTGTCCATGACCTTGGGAAGTCCGCCCGGTGAAAACCAGGAGCAGAGAGACCGTTCTGGGCAGAGACCTGCTTTTAATGCCTTGTCTCTGGGTTTCCTGTGGCGCAAACGAAGGGGCCTGGGGGCTCCCTCAGCCTCGAGCTCACCGCTCAGCTGGAGGTTTGGGAGAGTGGGCGGCGCCCTGGGGGTGTGGGCTGAGTGGACAACTCCGTGGTCCTTTGGTGGCCACAGCGGACTGTGGGACACACCGCCCGCCCCTCTGCCTTCCCAGCACCGGAATTAGGATCGTAAAAGTGGCTGGAAGGGCGGTGGGCTCGGTGAGGAGTCTGAGAAGGTGAGGACTCCGGGAAGCTTCCTGCCACCCGAGTTCAGCAGATGGAAATGTGTCTTGGATGTGCACTTTCCCAGGCTGCCAGGGGCTGGTGGGAAGGGAGTGTCAGGGGTGTGAGATGGCCTCGGGCACTTGGGACCAGAGCCGTGAACTGTGGGCAGAGGTGGGGCGGCGTGTCTGCCCGCACCGGCTGCCTGAGGTCCTCCAGGCGGGCGCTCGGTCCCTGACCTGGTCGGGGTTCTGAGGCAGGGCCTGTGCAGGTCTGTCTTGGAACCATCTCTGACCTGATCATGGCGAGGCGTTTGGTTTGGTCTTTGGAGCTTAAAAATACACAAAGTTATATCTCACGTTGGACACTCGAGTATCTATGTTGGAAACTTCTAGAAATAAGGCCCAGCCCGAGGTGACATTGTGAGTGAGCTGGGTTCTAATTGGCTCTTCAGTCTCCCTTGGGCCACCCCCTCCCGCGTCCTGAGGGTGGAGCCACGCGGGAAGGCCACGGGGAGCGACTTCACCTCGCACCGTGGACCCCACGTCTGAGCGCCACCTTCAGGGCACGTCTGTGCTTTTTCTCTGAAGGCTTATTGAGACTTGAGCTCTGTTTTACCTTGTGGCAGGACAACATTGCCGAGAAGGCTTGCTGTGGGGTGCCCTGCAAATGCTCTGGACAGAGGGGCGACCGCGGACCCATCGGCAGCATCGGGCCGAAGGTACGGCGGCGCCTCCGCCCGTTTCTCGCACCCCAGCCTGCTTCCCAGAGCTGTCGTTACCTTGGCTGGAGCTGGGGGAGGGGCAGGAAGGCGGGCCCCCAGGACAGAGGGCCCGAGAGCAGGCCCAGGTCCGAATGTCCGCTCCCTCTCCCTGACCTGGGGAGGGGCACTGTTCCTGGACACCCTGGGGACGGTCAGTGCGGCGGTCAGCGGGCGTGAGCATCCTCCGGTCACAGGGTTCCTGGGTGGGTCGGGAGCCTCAAAGGTCCGGTGGAGTCACTGCACGGGGATGACGCGCGGAACACTGTTAAGTTCAAGGACACCTGAAGCCACGCTGACTGTAGCTCGGCCGCGTGGACGGGTCGGGGAGCTGCTTAAAGAGAGAACAGCCGCGTGCAGAACCCAGGACCTAACCGGACGCTTACTCTGTTCCAGGGTGTGTCTGGAGAAGACGGCTACCGCGGTTACCCCGGGGACGAAGGCGGGCCGGTAAGCTGTTTCCTCCTGAGACTGTTACTCCCCCTCGGCCCTTGGGGCTGAGCCGTGGGTTCGCAGTCTATGCGGTTGCCAGTGGCCCACCCACTGGGAAAACACGGCGTCTCACTTCCTCAAGACCTTCGCCCCGATTCCCACCTGGTGGAAAGCAGCGCGACGCCCCCAGCTGGCGGGGGGGCCACGGACCTGGGGCTTCCACTCCTTCGCCTCCCTGGGGTGGGGGGGGACTGGTGCTGCGGAGGCAGGGGTCCCCCGATTCTGGCATGGTCAGGGTCTGCCAAGTTCCCACACCCAAGCAGAGATGGGAGTGAGCGGGTGCAGGGGGACCCCGAGCAGGCTGTAGTTGGGGTGGCGCCCTTTCGGGGAAGTCTCCCAGGGAAGGTTTGAGGGTCAACAGCCTCCGGGTCCAGTTGAGGGTGGGCGGAGCCTCTGGAGTGGTATCAGGGTCCGACATGGTCTGAGAGGCTTGAGACCCAGAGGAAGCCGCAGCCTGGGGTTGAGGGGCCCCGCAGGGAGAGGTGAGGTCACGGGGTCCCAGCTGGCAGTGCCGACCTCAGGGCGGGGCACCAAGGACCACGCAGATGAGCAGTCAGCCTGAGCGTTGTCCGCGGGGGCCTGGCTCCCACCCAGACCTGGTGCCCAGAGGCCCGCTCACCTCGGTCCCCAGGAGGGAGGCTCCGCGCTGCAGGGACCGGTCCCTCCCTCCAGGGTGCTGCGCCCTGGGCCTGGGGCAGGGAGGCTGGGGCTCCGTGGGCTCCGTGGGCTTTGCCGACATTCAGTTGCTCTGAAGGCAGCCCTAGAGCCGCAGACCCGGGGCGGACGGATGAGCAGGAGCCTCCAGCTTCTGAAATGCCTTTGTCTCCTCTCCCAGGGTGAACGGGGTCCCCCGGGCGTGAACGGCACTCAAGGTTTCCAGGGCTGCCCCGGCCAGCGGGGAATAAAGGTACAGTGTGGGGACCCGGTGTGGGGGCCCACAGCACCAGCCCGGGGGGGGGGGGGATGGTCAGCGGCAGGTGCAGAGGCGGAGGACACCGCCGGGCATCTCTGCCTTGGCGGCGGGCAGCCAGTAGCCTGTCCCGGGAAGGCAGCCCACAGTCTGGTGGGTCAGGAGGCGGTCACACGGGAAGGGGGCCTGAGCACACAGAAATAGTTTCCGACGGCGGCAGGGAGCCGCCAGGAAACCATCACGAGGACGGGCAGGACGTGGGCCAGGGTGGGAGAAGGCCAGTGCCTGTGGCTTCAGCCAGGGAGGCGGGGCAGCTCGAAAGGGGGGACCACTGCACTCACCGGCCTCTGGATGCAATACTCGGACTCGAGGGCTGATGAACGTTCTCCACCCCGGGTGACGTTGGAGAGCAGGTGCTGGAGGGAAGGGCCACCCCTCCTGCCCAGGGAGCCACACCACCCAAGTGCTCAGGTCCAGGAAAACTAGCTTTATGACTTCCATGTGATGGTGAGAGGGTGATCCAAACAAATAAATCTCTAATAGTGGATTTTCAGCTGCTGCGGCCTTCAGATGGGGTGGGGGCAGCCCCACCGTGTGGCTGAGGGACCAGCCTCCCGGAAGGAGCTAATGTTTCCCCCTCCCTTACTTCTAGGGCTCCCGCGGGTTCCCCGGAGAGAAGGTACGCAGCTTGTCTGCCTTTTTATGTTGAACCATTTCCCGAACGTCTCATCCTCGTTTGCCCGAAGGACTTCCACTCACCTGTGTGTCTTGTCCCCTCGCAGGGTGAATTAGGGGAGATCGGGCTGGATGGTCTCAACGGTGAAGATGTGAGTGACTTCATGCTCTGAGTCCCAGCCGCTTTGGTCCTGAAGCTTCCGGGGCCTGGCACCCAGTCCGTGGGAGCAGCCGTGCAGGGAATGACATTGTATCATTGTCTTTGGCAGGGAGACAAGGGCGTGCCTGGCTCTTCCGGAGAGAAGGGGAATCCTGGGAGAAGGGTAGGTGCATTTCCAGTGCTGCTGAGATGGGAAAACTGTGGACGTTTTACCTACTGAGGGACTGTTTCTTTCACTGGTGTATGTTAAGACCACTTCCTCCAGGCAGCCTCCCCAGACCTCCTCTTGGGCTGCACCCTTGGCGTCCCTTAGTCCCAGCAGTGAGAGATGATATTATAGTGCCTTGTTTGGAGACTGTGTCCCATAGGGCAGGAACTGAGTTTGTTTTGTTGTAAATATAAAGCCTTGTGTCTACACAGAGTGGACCCCTAATAAGTATCTGTGGATTACCTGAACAAACCCGAGACATTTGGAAGTTAACGCTCCCTTCATGGCCAAGGAGGAAATGCTTAGCATTGGTCTATTTAAGATTTGTGGACTGAAGAACGTGTTTTTCAGGATGAGTCACAAATGTGCAATTCTATTGAATGTTTAGTCTCCACGTGTGCTTCTTGTGTAGGGGGACAAAGGACCTAAGGGGAGCAGAGGAGAAAGAGGAGATGCTGGAATTCGAGGTGACCCGGTGAGAATTCCTTACAGACGATTTGAGACCTGAGTCTGGGGAAGAGGGTTGTGGGGACAGAGGGTCGAAAGGGGGGATTTTACTTTTGATGTTGCTGTAAAGCATCTTGATAAAGTAGGTGGTTTGTCCTCTTCAATATCGCGGCTGCTGGAGGTGGGTTTGCTGTCTGGCCGCAGAGATAAGCGATGACAAGCCCTGTCACACGAAGGCCGGAGACGTTTCCCCAAAGGGTGGTCTCGGGACACGTTAGTCCAGCTGGACCGTGCGGTCAGACATGAGTGAGGATGGGCATGCGGGCTCTGCGGCCAGCCCTCCAGACACGTCCCATTCAGACCGCAGCCCCCTGGGCCCGGCCGTGGGTGGGCCAACCATTCACAGTCCAGGGAGAACGGTGCTCCAGACCCCTCTGGCCTCGTGCCGGCCGGAGGACGGGAGGCTGGCCGCGGACGGTCGCTGCCTTGCAGGCTTCACGGAGCCACAGAGGGGAAAAGCGACAAACCTTCCGTTTCCCTAAGGTGCTGTTTTCCTGCCCACGAGGCTCATTCCCTGCCCTGTGTTGTTTTCAGGGTGACTCAGGACGGGACAGCCAGCAGAGAGGACCCAAAGGAGAGACTGGGGACATCGGGCCCATGGTATGATGCCCCACGTGCCCGGACTCCCTGTGCCGAGGGCCAGCTTGTCCCCGTCTGGAGGCCACGGGTGTGGTCTTCAAGGCTGTGGATGTAGGAAGTCAGGGGCAGAGGGTCCCTCGGAGCCCACCGTGCACCCCTGAGAAGGAAATCTCTGCGGGGGAACAGAGCCCCCTTCCCGGAGGGCTTCTCTGCAGAACCGGGCTGCTCAGAGGGTTACAGGAAGTGCTGTCAAGCCAGAAGCTTGTGGGGGAGATGCACCCACAAAGTGTCCGACCCCCTCTGTGTATTGATCCCATTTCCTGGGTGCTGTGAGCAACAGCACCGTGTCAGACATTGTTCTCTGCAGATGAGAAGCTCATGCCATTTTCTTCTCCACACCAGGGTCTCCCGGGGAGAGATGGGGTGCCTGGGCAGGCTGGAGAACCCGGGAAGAACGTGAGTACCTCTGAGGGCTGGGGGGTCTCCGAGGATGTTAGCTAGCGATGCCTGCATCCCACACACCGCCCGGGGCAGAGCTATCCAGCTGCTCTTTACTCTGGAACGGAAGGGAATTTCTGCAGCGATGTCGCTCAAATCACACTGCTGGAGAAACCTCTCGGTCTTCCCACTTGCTCTGCACTCCCCCTTCTCCCCCAGACCCGCTTCCTTCTCCTCCCGCTCACACGGAACTGACGCTTTGAAAAGTATTACCTGTACTGCTCGCGAGAACTTGGCCAGGTTTCATCCCACTAAATATTTAAAACATCCAATGTGACATGAATCCAGGGGAATGAGGGATAGAGGCAGGAAGACGGACAGGGCCTCATACCTGCTGTTGCTTTTATAACTGGTGTGCATGTGTGTATGTGTGTGTGTGTGTGCGTGTGCATGCATGTGTATGCATGTGCACGCATGTGTATGTGTGTGTGCGCACGTGTATGTGTGTGCACGCATGCATGCTGCTGGGACTCAAGCAGCGAAACTAGACTCCGTTTTCTAGGGAATTTCAGCTCACAGTGGCTTTTTAAGACCCTTCAGAAAGTCAGCGGTGGAGCTCACCGCACACTGGTCCTTGCGTCTTGGTGACGAGTCGCATCCTGAAGCCGGTGGGCTCAGAAGGCATTTGAAGACTTCCAGGGCCCGGGGTGCTCAGAGCTGGAGCCGGGAGAAGAGGGTCCCTGCACGGGAGGAATGTGTACCCCCAGGGGCCGGCTCAGGGTGCTGGGGTGCCCCGGACAGGCTTCTGCTCAGACCCTGGTGGGCCGTGCAGCTTTTGCCCGGTTGGGCGACATGTTAGGGGCGAGCTGCTGGGCGACCCGAGGGAGCACCTGGACTCGAGGGCTCTTGGCAGAACCCTGCTCAGAGGACCCGCTGTGGGCACACGGTTGCTTTTAAAAACCCGAAGACCTAATATTTGAAAACGTTCTCTTCAAAGTGCTGAGCATTGTTTTTGAACAGTGCTGCCGAGCTATCTCATGCAAAAGCCACGAGGGGCTACTCGGCTGTTACAATGTGCCGCCCCGCTCAGCTGGGGAGCAGGGCCAAGGCTTGTTTTGATGAGAGTCACGCACGCAGTCCGTTTGCATCCATGCACCGGTGGAAACTTGGCTTTGAGTCTGATACAGTCCGGGGGTCTTCTGGACGGGCTCAGTTGCCTCCTGTGCAGCAGGGTGAGGCCAGGCGGCACGGCCTCCTCCTTCCTGGGGCCTCACGGTGCCGGGCTCAGGCCTGGACGGAGTGTCCTTCTGCCGGGCACCTCGCCCTCAGGGCCTTCAACGCCCCCGCAGGCTGCCTCTGGCCCGCATCTCAGAGCACGGTGGCCTCTGGCCTGCTCTAGGCCCTTTGGGAGGGACCAGCCCCATTGCCGCCCTGCCCCACCCCCTTCTCCACGTGTAGTTCTTGGAAGGGGGCCAAAGCCTTCCAGTAAAGAAGCTGCCACTACAGTGACTAAGAGCCAACGTCGCTGGAGATCCCTGGCTGGTCCACTGGGAGTGAGACGTGGTCCTTGGGTCGGGCCGCAGAGGGCCAAGCCCAGCCCCCGCTGCTTGTCCGGGCTCCAGCCTCAGCGCCTGACCTCCCGAAGATGTATCGGGACGCTCACATGTCCCCACCCCCTCCCCGCCGCAGCGGAAGCGGCAGAGCGTGGGAGTTAGCGAGCCCACGCTGCCCTGGACCCAGGGCCACCCCCGGAGTGTGGGGGGGGACGGTGCCGAGACCTGAGCCCAAATCGAGTTCTCCTGGGAGCCAGGTTCACGCACGGGGACGCTCACTTCACCGGGGCCTGTGGCACTCGGCCAGTGGGGCGTGGAGAGTCTGGGGCTCCTTCCTTCTAATGAACACATCGCATGACTTCCCCGACAGTCGGGGGAACGGTAGAAAACAGACCTGACATTCCCTCTCCCTTCCGCATCTGCCACTGGCCCGGCTGTGCCCCAGGAGCCATTGTTTGGCTTGGCAGGTCCGCCGCATCCCTTCCCTGGTGACTGACGGGCAGCGTGGGGCAGAGCCTGGGGTCCCTCAGGGCGGGGGGCCTGGCACACAGACGCAGTGGGGCTCAGCCGCAGTCTCCGGCTCCGTCCTGTCTCCCCTCACAGTTTGTGTGACTTCTTCCACAGGGCGGCTATGGCCTAAGGGGACCGGCAGGAACTAAGGTGAGCCTCTGAGCTGGCGCCCCCTTTCTGTCATCAGCGGGTAGCTCACCATGTGCTCGCTCTGGGGGACCGTCCTCGCGTCCTCCGCCTACGCGCTGAACCTCCTCCTTCGCTCTCCATCTCCTTGCATGAGCCTCCCTGATGGACTTGTGACAACAATGAAGAGTGGGGGGCAGGGCAGGGGGTGGAGGGGAGACGACCGAGGAGGCAGTTCCCAGGCGTCTCTTGTCCGCAACGTTTCCGCTCGGCTAGGCGTCAGCGAGTCGCAGGGACTCGGTGTCCAGCGTCCTCACTGAGCTGGCTCTGCGTGTCGGCTGCCTCACCCTGGGGCAACCCGCTCAGTCTTCGAAGCCCCCCCCCCCCGAGCTGAGACCGTGACCCTGTCCGTCGTCCAGATGTGACGCGGAGCGGAGCGGAGCGCCGGCGTCGCTGTCAACCGTCCTGACCCCTGCGCCTTCTCTCTTCTTTCAAGGGCAACCCTGGTGGTCCGGGCCAGCCGGGCTCCGCGGGAGAGCCGGGGACCCAGGGAGCACAGGTCAGTACCCGGGGCGCCTGTGTGCCTTCGGCTATCTCCCCAGATGCTCGCGTATTTTTTTTTTTTAATCAAGGTGACAGTCAATTTTACGAGATCAGACAAAGCTGATCATTTGCCGTGGACGATTCAGGGGCATTTAGTGCTCGGGGGGTGGTGACAACCCTCGCCTCTCTCTGCTTTCAAACGATTCACCTTCCCAGAGGGGACCCCACCCCTGGGATGTGGTCACTCCTCAGCCCCCCACCCCAGCCCCTGCGACACTCATCTCCTCCCCGTCTCTACGGAGGTGCTGCTCTGGACACTTCGCGTGAACGGGGTCAGCCAGTAGGTGGCCTTTCGTACCCGGCTTCTCCCCCGTAGCACGTGGGGTTTCCGAGGTTCGCGTGGGGTGGAGCCCACAGGGCTTCGCTCCCCTTCTTGGCCAACCGTGTTCCCCTGTGGGCACAGACCACAGCCGACGGGCTGTTCCTGGGTCGGTGTCCCCCGGGGCCGCCCCACCTTCGGGAACTATGAATGCTACTGCTGCGGCATCGTGCACAAGTTCGTGTTTTTCAAAACCAACCTCCCGCTCGTGCTCTGGGCTGGGGCCGCTGCTCCCCGGGGGATCCACAGGCGGGCTCTGGGGGCCTCGCAGCAGCAGGAGCGAGGCTCTGGGCTCCGCGGAAAGCACACGGGTCCGCCTGGGCTTCCTCCTCCACACGGCATTGACCTCGGCCTTTCGTCCTCAGGGTCCAGCTGGTCCCACCGGTCCCCCAGGCCTGATGGGAGAACAGGGCATTCCCGGACCGCGGGTAAGTGCGTCTCCGCCCACCCTCTGTGTGGCTGAGCGGACAGCAGGGCCCGAGCAGGCTGAGGGTCCGCGCCTGGTGCTGCTGAGGACAGACCTTCCCCGACCCCTGGGTGACACCAACCCTGGGTCAGCCGTAGTCCCCGTGGCCGGTTTATGCGAGGAAGTAGGGGCCCTTTTTTCTTGGTGCTCCAGGGGCTTGGGGTTCCGGGGGGCCTCCACCTGGGCCAGCCGGGGTCAGCAAGGGGACGCGCTGTCTCCGAGGCCTCGGCCTGGAACTGCGCGGATGTAACTAAATCCACCGAAGGGCTCACACGATGTCATGATCCCTGGAGATTGGCCCTGAGGTTTGCTAGTTTGTGTGGGGCGCTGCCCGTCCCCCAGTTTGGCACAGAAGGTGTCCCTAGAGTCATGACCGCAGAATTCAACGTCACGGCTGCCGAGATGATGAGCAGATGCGCCATGACAGTCAAGCTGGGACCAGGTGTCCTCCTCACCTCTGTCGCTCTGCACGACAGGACGCTGGGGGAGCCCCCTGCCATCTGCACAGAGCAGAGCAGTGGCTGACTGCGCCGGTAGCCCCCCGAGGCACCCCGTGCTGTGCAGCGGCAGCAGGAAGTAGGCGGGGGCCGCCTTTGCGGGAAGTCCTCCCCGGCTCCGAAACCCCATGCGCACCGACCTTTACAGCTTTGGGTTTTTCCCAACATTGAGTCGAGCTCCGATTAATCGGGAATTGCAGAGGGAGTAGGGAAGAGGCAGGTGTCTGGGAACAGTCACCAATGACAGAGAGACGCCGCCATCTGCCTTTGATGTCCGTGGGGGCTGTTCCCAGGCTCCGCCAGCATAGGTTGATTCATGCACTCAGCCAGGGGTCCCTGTGGAGGGTGGACAGAGGACAGCAGCCACCTAACATCTGGGTGCTCGTCCCCTAGTTAGGGGCCCGGGACGTGGATGTGCGTTGGAAAGGGCACCGTGTGGACGTTTTGCAGACTGGCCCGGGCGTGCACTGATGCTGTGGGCAGCACAAACCACGCAAACTTGCAGCTGGGTCTTCAGCCCCGCGTGAGACCCTGAGCACCGCAGCTCTGACCTCCAGGGCTGGGGGAGGGGCATTCAGACTCAGGCCCAGCAAGGGGGGACATGTCACCGATTCTCCTCTCCTCCCACCCCAGGGGAGCGGAGGGCCTGCAGGTGCTCCGGGAGAACGCGGCAGGATCGGTCCCCTGGGAAGAAAGGTTTGTCTGGACGGAGGGCCAGCTGCTTTCCTGAGGTCAGGCCTGGCCCGCCCCCCGGACCTCTCCCTCACTCACCAGCTGGCCCCCTGCTTCGTTTGCCATCCCTGGGCCTGCCTTCCGGTCTTCCCGCCCCAGCCTTCCCTGTGGAGAGCCCGCTTGCCAGTGGGGTCCCCGCCCCCGCCTCGAGGAACGCACGCTCATGCTCAGTGGGTGGGCTGTCTCGTGGCAGCTGCTCCTGCCGTGGCCCGAGGCCACAGTCCAGCATCCTCACGCGGTCCGCAGCTCGGGCCACGCAGCACCGCATCAGAACCGCCCCGACCACACCCCACGGGGACGTGGGCGGTTCACACTGCTCTGCTGTCCCCGCTTTGCGGAGCCCGGAGCCCGGACCGTTTGGGGTGTCAGAGCCCATTGCCAAAGGCTGTCGTCGGATCCCTGCTCCTGCAAACCTGGAGAAAACCCGAGTTTATCAGAACCAGTCCTACCGGCAGCATTTTCTCAGGGAAAGAAATGTGTTCCCAAGGACCCAGAATTTCCTCTCTGCCTCTTGTTGGTGTTATTGGGGTTCCCCGCCGAAGTCAGTGCCCACCGGCTCCCTCTTTCCGGTTTCCCTTTCCCGGTCTCCCCGCCAGCATGTCCCCGTGCCATGTTCACGAAGAGAACACGCGCCGGCCTCCCGGGAGCCTTTTCCAGGGCTCCACGTGGGGCCGCGGCGTCACCTCGAACGGCAGGGCTTGGCACGATCCTTCCGGACTGCAGACGTCGCAGCCTTGTTTCTCGTTGCAGGGTGAGCCCGGAGACCCAGGAGCCAAGGGAGGAATCGGGAGCCGAGGGCCCCGTGGGGAGATGGTAAGATCAAAATGTGTTGTCACTGACTCTGCTGGAACGTTCCGGAAGCGGGGAGACGGGGCTTGTGCCGGGCGGGCCGTTGTCTTTGCAGATTAGGTTTGGTCCCCACAGAGGTAACTGGATGGTTGCTTCTCCGATCACTGGGGACGGGATTGAAAACTGCTGCGTGTAACCAGCAAATAAACGTCAAAGTCAGTCTCGCTTCATTGTGGGGGTGTGGGTGGGACGTCTCTTCTGTTTTCCGGGGTATGGGGACCAGCCGGCTCACGGAGGCCGGACCGACGTTCAGCTTCGGTCTTGTGAATGCTCTTGAGCACGACCTCACGGGGCTTTTCTGCAAAGGGATAAACGTCCAGGGATAAAAGTGGAGTCGGATCGGTCAGGTCTCAATGCGATGGAAACAGCGTCCGCTGGGTGAGACACCCCAGGAATAGAAACCGTTACTGTGATAACTCATTAAAAAATTGTTATTTAAAACAATCTAACAGCTCGCTACCAATAATCTTGTAGGCTATATTTCTATATGAGGAAAAAAATCTACAGGATGTTGGAAATTTTTCTAAAATGAGTCAGTAGACCCAGAAACTCTATGCATTGGCCAGGTGACCTGCCTCATGACCCTAAGGCATCCAGGTATTTTCCTTGTGTGCGTAACTTCTCTACAGTGAACTGAAGTTGAAAAATAATTCATTCTGCCCTGGCCAGTTTGGCTCAGTGGTTACAGCGTTGGCCTGTGGACCAATGATTCACGGGTTCGATTCCGGTCCAGGGCACGTACCTCGGTTGCAGTTTTGTCCCCGGTCCTGGTCGGGGTCATGCCGGAGGCAACCAGTCGATGTGTCCCTCTCACGTCGATGTTTCTCTCTCTCTCCCCTTCTATCTGAAGATAAATAGAAAAACAATGTCCTCAGGTGAGGATTAAAAAACAACAATAATAAAATAAATAAATAGAAAATAACCCATATCTGTTGCCCATAGTTTCAGGAGCGGAGGGAAAAAACATCAAACTTAAAATCTTTTCAAAACCATGAAAGACAATTTCTTCCTGATTCTGTTTTTATAAGTTTTGGGGGCAGTGGCTTTTTGCTCCTGATGTCCATTTAGAACGGTAAACGAACCGCCCTGGCCAGTTTGGCTCAGCGGTTAGAGCGTCAGTCAGCCCGAGGACCAAAGAATCTCAGGTTCGATTCCGGTCCAGGGCACGTACCTCGGTTGCAGTTCTGTCCCCGGCCCTGGTGGGGGCCATGCAGGAGGCAACCAGTCGATGTGTCCCTCTCACGTCGATGTTTCTCTCTCTCCCTCCCTCCCTCTGTCTGAAAATAGATGGGAAAATATCCTCAGGTGAGGATTTAAAAAAAAAACAAAAACAAAAACTGTAAATGAACTACGAAGCATGTTCCATGCCTGTTTTAAAGCAATTGATGTGTTTTGCACATACATTCTTCGGATCCTTTTAAAGTAATCGTGTCCAGTTCCCAAGGCCCCACGAGAAAGTGATAGGGACGCTGTGAGGGTGGGGGAGGGGTGTTTGGAAAGAAGGCAGCTAGTGGTGTGGCCTGGGAGGAGGGCAGGGACTCGGGAAGAGGGAGGCGGTCTGAGCGCAGACCACTCAGGAGGGTACGAGGCAGTGAATCCTGTGGCTTTGCTTTGAAGTAGCGTCAAAGACTCACAGAGGCAGAGTCAGGGTGACCTTCCAGAGTCCTTTCGACTCCAGATTCCGAGGTTCGATGGGTCCTTGGTTCCGCCTTCGAGCAGGAGCTTTGCCAACAGCTGGGAGAAGTTCTTTAGACTGGAGCCACCAGTGCCGTTTGCTAAAGGCTCCTTCACGCTGGGTCTTGTCCCCCCGGGAGGAGGAGGAGCCCGAACCCCTGGATCTGCTCCTCGATCTGGGGACATTTCGGGGACCCAGGGACCCTGCTAGGGCTGCAGACAGAGCTGGGTGGCTTGCAGTGACCCTGTCTTTCCACACGTAGGGCGACAACGGGCGAGATGGAGCTGGCGGTGAAGGGCGCAAAGGCAAAAAGGTGTGTACTCGCGACGTGGTTTTCCTGCGGAACTCTCTCAAAACCTCACCGTGATACAGTGGCTTTTTCTCTTGACGACGCTATGGATGTGTAATTTATTTTAGCGAATTTAAATTGAGCCCAACTATCGACTGAGGCATTTATTGATCTTTTACAGGGAGAAAGGGGCTTTCCTGGACACCCAGGTCCGAAGGTAAATATTCCGCAGTTGGTGGTACACGTTTACCACCGTTGTTTTGGGACGAGTCTGGTGTGTCCACGAACTGCAGATCAGAGCGTCGTGGTTCTAGTCTTGGATCAGCTACGTACGGACCGAGTGGCCTTGGGGAGGCCCCCCCGTCTCTGAGAGAGCCCCTCCTCTGTTGCAATAATGGAGAGGACTTGTCAGGGAGCTTGTGAGGACTCAGTGAACAGCACCGCAGTAAAATACGTTGTCAACCTAAAATGCGGTGTCTGCAGGCTGTTACCATTATCGATCCCACGAGCTGGGGCTGACTCCTCACATGCTCTGGGAACCAGGGGAGAAGTGTCCAAAGTCGGCCGTGTGGCTGCTGGGACCCTCGGCTGCACCTGCTGTTCCAGAGCTAATGTGCCGCCCCCTGGCTCTCTCCTCAGGGCATCCATGGGGACCCCGGGACAGGGGGAGCGCCGGGACCCAAAGGCATCCGAGGCCGAAGGGTGAGTTTGCCTGCATCATTGCTGCAGTGGGAATGAGGACGTGGAGGGAGGGGGATCGAACCCTGACCCTCCACCTTCTGTGGACGCTCCTCTTTGCCACGGCAACCCGGCCAGTGGGAGCATGGGGGGTGGGGCGAGGAAAGGGATCCTAAGCTGAAGCCCAATGTTTCAGGACCCCCTGTGGTTGTGTCTGTGTTTTCCCCCTTATGGGGAGGCCCCGAGAGCCCCTTCCTCTAACACATCTCAAGGGTCCCTAGTCCTTGGTCCACTCCCCACAGGGCGGCAGGGGGATTCAAGTCTCAGAAGGAGTAATGTCAGTCTGTGTGGTCACGTTTGGTCCTGCCCAACCAACGGTGACGCAACAGGGTTTCATGGGGTGCCTGACGTGCTTGCGGGGGTCCCGGCTCAGAGGCGGGCCAGGCCAAGACCGCCTGCTCTCGCCTCCCATCCCGAGAGGACGCCTCTTTCTTAAGCTGCTCTGGTTCTGAGTTACTCTCCTCAGCGGGGTCTCTCATCCTCTTACGGTTGCGCTGAGTCTTGAATTAGCCAGTTGTGGTCTAGATCTGGGTAAACGTTTCTAACAGCTATTCTTCGCTAAAAATATAGCTGAAAACCACCGTAATTGTCCTGCTAAATTTGCTCATGAAGACAGTCAAATTAGGTCAGTCACTACTTAAATTAAGGTGGTCTACACCCAGCAGTGACGTCATTAATGGTCAGTTACTGATTGCTCGTGCGTTCATGGACCGTCTCGTTGATGGTTCTTAGGCATCTGTCTTACCTGAGCCTGCCGGAGAACTCAGTTGTGAGGAAGTGTGCGTCAGTTTTGTGAGAGCCTCCTGTCCTTACACGTGAATTCTGGAGGCGCAGAAACCCCGACAGTGAAGCTTTTCTGTGGTGACAGGGGATGTTAGGTTAGATGACCTTTACCACACTTTCCGAGGGGGGCAGTGCAGAATGCCCCTTCTTTTGCCCCAGTTAGACAATGCTTGTTCTGCCCCTTGCAGGGAAATTCAGGACCTCCAGGGCCCGGTGGACAGAGGGGAGACCCTGGCTACCCAGGACCATCTGTAAGTACCTACCAATCCCCATCGAGCCTTGTATGTGGTCTCTGAACACTGCCCACTGTCTCCTTCTCACAGAGACGGCGTGCCGCATTTATGCTGTTATTGTTGTTTGTTGTCATTTTTTAAAAACCACTTCCCTTCTGACACCACAATGGGGAAAAGAGCTTTGAACACATGACATGCTGTAGTCCAGGGCATAGAGCAGTTTGCTTCCAGAATTTCCTGGTTTGAGGCTTGTGTAGAGGACAAACGAAGAGAACACATTGTACTACCTCTGGATTGCACCTTGTGGGAGACTGTAACTGTGTCCGACCTTGGCCTGGGAATCCTTCCTTTGGTCTGTAAAACCCCAAGCGAGCTACCGATTCACGGTTAGAGCAGTTCGTCTGACATGACGAACATGGGGCCAGGAGGGTCCCCTCTGGGCTCCTCCATGAAATCTCATCAGTACACACGTCTTTGTCTCCTTATCTGAATTTCTCTCTTTACTGTCTCCCTACATTAAAACTGATGAGGTTCGATGAAGAATGAACCAATAACTCAGGAATGGAGAGTCACTCCCAGAAAAAAGGTTAAGGGATTGGACTGGGTGAATCCGGAAGAAGAAAGTTGAGTTGGGTGTTCAGTGAGAGGCATTTAACGGGCGATCAAAACGCCAGTTACTATGGGGATGAACAGGCAGGAACAGCCTCATGGAGAGACAGCGAGTGGCCCACGAGGGGACTGCTTGACCCTGGGTGGGCACCTACTGGGATGAGATGCCGAGAGCAGATGAGGGTCCCGCCCTGAGCAGAATCAGCTGGGATGCCTTCGACCTGGAGCGACAGGCAGCCAGGTGACCGCGCTGTCCTCCCGTGAACAGGGGCTGAGCTAGCAGGTGGAAGGAAGCGCCTCTCTCGGGTACAGTGGTGTTGGACTCGAGCTCAGTGTGCGGCTCCCGTGGACTCGTAATGAGCTTCCCGGTCTTCAGGGTGTGCAGCTCCTCGCTCACAGCGAAACTTTTTATCCCAGGTCTTCTGCTCCTTTGCTCTTTGAGGAGCCAAGTCAGGTTTGCAGGGAGGGTCTGCGAAGGACCCAGGCCAGCCGAGGCCGCCTCTGCTTCCTCCACCCCGTTGCTGGGGGCCGAGGACTGTTCCCCGCGGGCCGCGTCCCGTACGTCAGCCTCTCCTTCCTTGTTTTCCAGGGTTACAAAGGCAACAGAGGCGACTCGATCGACGTAAGTCACATGCATGCGCACGCGTCCCTGTCCGTCAGTCCTTTGTCTGCTGTCCTGACACCTTCTCTCCTTCCTTTTAAAGCAATGTGCCCTTGTCCAGAGCATCAAAGATAAATGTCGTAAGTACACGGCTTTCTGCGGTGGGGGACGCACTTCTACCCTTCCGTCTGCATCTCTCACGACGGACCTGACGCTCCCTCCTCTCTTGTTCCTTTCCAGCTTGCTGCTACGGTAAGTGCACGGCATGGCGTGGCCTCCTTCCGTGGCGAGAAGCCCCTTCCCAGCAGGTAAGGTTTATCTGTGCACCCGCCCCCTTCCCAGGGCCCCTGGAGTGCCCCGTCTTCCCGACGGAACTGGCCTTCGCTTTGGACACCTCAGAGGGGGTCACGCAAGACACCTTCAGTCGCATGAGGGACGTGCTCTTGAAGATCGTGGGTGACTTGACCATTGCCGAGAGCAACTGCCCGCGGGGGGCCCGCGTGGCCGTGGTCACCTACAACAACGAGGTGACCACGGAGATCCGGTTCGCTGACTCCAAGAAGAAGTCGGTCCTCCTGGACAGGATCAAGAACCTCCAGGTGGCTCTGACGTCCAAGCAGCAGAGCCTGGAGACCGCCATGTCGTTCGTGGCCAGGAACACCTTCAAGAGAGTGAGGAGCGGCTTCCTCATGAGGAAAGTGGCCATTTTCTTCAGCAACAAACCCACCAGGGCGTCGCCGCAGCTCAGGGAGGCTATGCTGAAGCTGTCGGATGCGGGGGTCACGCCTCTGTTCCTCACCAGCCAGGAGGACCGGCAGCTGGTCAACGCTCTGCAGGTCGGTGCCCTGGTGACCCCCCGCCCCGGGCTCGGGGGAGGCTCGCAGGCATGTCCGCGCCCTGCACGGGGCATCATGACCCACCGCTTCTAGAAGGCCCTGGAGGAAGCTGGGCCGGCCGAGACCTCTGCAGGGAGGCTCCAGGACAGCCTCTGGCTCAGTGCCAGAGCCAAGGCCCCCTCCTCACGTGTTGGAGGGGTCTCCCAGGGTAACCCGGACATCTGCCACCTCCTAGTGGGGTCCCCAGACATCTGTGAGTCCAGCTCCCCAGTGTGCTCCCCTGTTCAAACCTTTCTTGAGCCGGGCTGGCACCCGAGGGTCAGCTGGTGACACGGACAAGAGCTCCCTCCTTATTTGCTTAAACAACTTGCTACATTGTTATACTTAATCAGCTAACATTTTCTCAGCGTGGGTGCTGAGCTTATTGTCCCAGAGGCGTGGGTGACGGGCGTGAAGGGGGAGTGGGCAGCAGCGAGGAGGCCTTGGGTGCTATCGCCGCCCGTGGTCTGGCTTCACATCCCTGACAGGAGTGTGGGCACCTCACTGCACCTCTCTGTGACGGGTTCTCAGCTGCAGGAGACAGGGCGGGGTGGAGACAGGCCCTAGGCTTCTCCTCCAAGCTGGGTGTTCCGTGGTTCTCCCGCTGCCCACGTCAGCGAGGGGCGTTGCCAGCATGTCTCAGGGCTGGGTCTCCAGTCCGCAGGCCAGGGGAGCACGGAGCACCAGGCTTGGGGATCCCGCTGCGGCCGCCAGCGGTGTGGCCGAGGGACCCTGAGCCACACATGTCTTTTTTTTTTTTCTTTTAATCCTCACCCAAGGATATTTTTCCATTTATCTTCAGATAGAGTGGGAGGGGGAGAGAGAGAAAGAGAGAGAGAGAGAAACATTGATGTGAGATAGACACAATGACTTGTTGTTGCCTCCTGCACGACCCCAATCAGGCCGGGGACTGAATTGCAACCAAGGTACATGCCTTGACCGGAATTGAACCCGAGACTCTGTCCTCGGGCCGATGTTCTAACCACTGAACCAAACCTGCCAGGGCCCACATGTGTCTTAATAGGATAGTTTCAGCGAGTTCGACAAGTTAAGTATTCATTCATTCATTCATTGAATTTAATTTGTCACGAAATAAACAGCTAGTGCTGCTGCGCTGTGCTGGGCAGGAGTCGGAATCTCCTGGACATGATGTAATGACTTGCTTTGCCGTTCAAGTCCCTCTCCAGCCCTGGCAGCGAGGTCAAGGAATGAAGCTAACATTTGCCAGTTGTTATTATTATTGCTGCACACGACAATGGTATTGAAGCCCCCTCTTCACTAGAGGTTATACCAGGCGCTTGACATCTGTTACCAAACTTCATCCTTCAAATAGCTCTGTTGAGAATTGACCGTTATCCCATTCTACAGCCGAGAAAACTGAACCTCCGAGAGGTCAAATAATCTGGCTTCATTGCCCTGGCTGGTTTGGCTCAGCGGTTGGAGCATCTTCCTGGGGACCAGAGAGTCCCGGGTTCGGTTCCCGCTAGGGGCACGTACCAAAATATAAAAAAATAATACTCTGGCTTCAAGGCCAGCAGAAAGTGCGGGAATGACATTTGAACTCAGCTCATTTCCGCCGAAGGAAACCTATGTTTTCCTGTTAAACTCGGTGCCTCCTCCAGCCTCCCCCTCAAACAGCGAGAGGATCAGCCTCTTGGGAAGCCGGTTGTGTCGAGGTGACTAGCTTGCTCCTCGGCTGTATTTCGCGCGGTTCCTGATTGTGACCGTCCTACCGAACGTTTCCTGTTTGCACCAGATCAATAACACGGCCGTGGGACACGCGCTGGTCCTGCCGCCCCGCAGGGACCTCCCGGACTTCCTGAAGAAGGTCCTGGCCTGTCATGTCTGCTTGGGTAAGGTGCTTCTCCAGCCACCTCTGTCCAGCTGCAGACCTGCCGTGCACGGAGGGACATCTGGGCCGACAGCCCTCACTGGGTACAGGCTCGAGTTCAGTGCAGATCCATAGACACCACACAGTAGTTTTCGTGTTTAAAGTAGAACCCCAAACAGAGCTCCTCTTAGATGGGGAACGATTTGTTTTATAAGCAATGAGAGAGAGAGTGGGCTCTGCTTAAGTCTTCACCTTGGAGCCTCGATTTTAACTATCTGGCTTTGGGACTTTGTAGACACATTTCTTCAAAGAGTGACAAAAAAGTAAGGTCCCTCCCCTCCCCTCCCCCTTCCCTTTCCCCTCCCCTCCCCCTTCCCCCTCCCTTCCCCTCCCCTCCCTTCTCCTTCCCTCTCCTCCCCTCGCCTCCCTCCTCTCCCCTCCCACCTCCCCTTCCCCTTCCCTCCCCCTCCCCTCCCCTCCTCTTCCCTCCCCTTCCCCTCCCACCTCTTCCCTTTCCTCCCCCTCCCCTCCCCTCTCCTCCTCTTCCTCTCCCCTCCCCTCCCCCTCCCTTCCCCCTCCCTCCCTCCCTCCCTCCCTCCCCTCCCCTCCCTTCCTTTCTAATGCCGGCAGACCTTGGCTTACTGACTTGTCTCACTCAGTGAGCGCTCTGTGATGAAGGCAGAAATCCGGCCACAACAATGCCGGCAAGACATGAACAGGTTCCCAGGTCCTGAGAGTTTCAGTGGCCCAGGCCCCCAGCGGATGGATGGGCCAAGGCTCGCCGAGGAGTCCTGGGGTAAACGGGCTGCCCCGCTTCCTTCCAGACATCTGCAACATCGACCCGTCCTGTGGGTTCGGCAACTGGAGGCCCACCTTCCGGGACAGGCGAGCGGCGGGCAGCGACCTGGGCATCGACGTGGCGTTCGTCCTGGACAGCTCCGAGTCCACCACCCCGTTCCAGTTCAACGAGATGAAGAAGTACATAGGGTACCTGGTCAGGCAGCTGGACCTGAGCCCCGACCCCAAGGCCTCCCAGCACTTTGCCAGGGTGGCCGTGGTGCAGCACGCGCCCTACGAGTCCGTGGGGAACGCCAGCACGCCGCCCGTGCAGGTGGAGTTCTCCCTGACTGACCACAGCTCCAAGGAGAAGGTGGTGGATGCCCTGGGCATGAGGATGGCACAGCTGCAGGGCACCAGGGCCTTGGGCCGCGCCGTGGACTATACCATAGAGCACGTTTTCGAAAGTGCGCCCAACCCACGGGACCTGAAGGTCGTGGTCCTGATGCTGACGGGCGAGGTGCCGAAGCAGCAGCTGGAGGAGGCCCAGAGGGCCATCTTGCAGGCCAAGTGCAAGGGCTACTTCTTCGTGATCCTGGGCATCGGCAGGAAGGTCAATGTGAAGGAGGTGTACGGCTTCGCCAGCGAGCCCAATGACGTCTTCTTCAAACTGGTGGACAAGTCCACGGAGCTCAACGAGGAGCCGCTCATGCGCTTTGGGAGGCTGCTGCCCTCCTTCGTCAGCAGTAAGTCCCGCGTGCGGCCTCGGCCGCCAGGGGGGGGGGGCACAGCTAGTGCGATGCTGTTGCCTTGGTCATTCGTTCTGCAGGGGGGCACCCGTGCTCCAGGTGCCAGGCACACTTGGAGTTGCCGGGCTGAAAGTGGGCACAGATGGAAACCCTGTCCTTGTTCACTCGTATGCAACCACATTGCACCGGGCACATCCCAGCCATAGACAGTGTCCCTGAGAACTGACAGTCTAGGGGGCATGATGTAATATGCTGGCCTGTCACTGAGAAGTGTATCCTGATGGGGCATCGCGGAAGCTGCTAGAAGGGGTTGCATTGATCTGGGTTTAGCCACCAACCCCACACTTGAAACCCTCTGGGTCTTGCCGAGGTGGTTCCTCCAGAGGGCGCCCCACCTCTGCTTCAGCAGCAGACCCCGTCCGTCCATCCTTAGAACCCACCTCCAGCTGCCCCTGCTCACCTGAACGACCCCACGTGGGCCCAAGGCTCGCTCACTGTTAGTCAGGATGCTGCACTTACAGGGCCCGTTGCATCCACTGTGGGTGTAGCCCCAGTGGACTGCAAGGCCCTTGAGAGAGTGCCTCATTCACTGCTGTGGTCCCCTGAGCCCGGCTCAGTGCCTGGCCCAGAGCTGTCTCAGGAAGGTGTTTGACACATGAGAGGGTGGTTGACACATGAGAAGGGGGTTGACACATGAGAAGGGGGTTGACACATGAGAGGGTGGTTGACACATGAGAAGGGGGTTGACACATGAGAAGGGGGTTGACACATGAGAGGGTGGTTGACACATGAGAAGGGGGTTGACACATGAGAAAGGGGTTGACACATGAGAAAGGGGTTGACACATGAGAAAGGGGTTGACACATGAGAGGGTGGTTGACACATGAGAAGGGGGTTGACACATGAGAAGGGGTTGACACATGAGAAGGGGGTTGACACATGAGAAGGGGGTTGACACATGAGAGGGTGGTTGACACATGAGAAGGGGGTTGACACATGAGAAAGGGGTTGACACATGAGAAAGAGGGTTGACACATGAGAGGGTGGTTGGCGCATGAGAGGGTGGTTGACACATGAGAGGGTGGTTGACACATGAGAGGGTGGTTGGCACATGAGAAGGGGGTTGACGCATGAGAGGGTGGTTGGCACATGAGAAGGGGTTGACACATGAGAAGGGGGTTGACACATGAGAAAGGGGTTGACACATGAGAAGGGGTTGACACATGAGAAGGGGGTTGACATATGAGAGGGTGGTTGGCACATGAGAAGGGGGTTTGACACATGAGAAGGGTGGTTGCACATGAGGAAGTGGTTGACAACATGAGAAGGGGTTGACACATGAGAATGGGTGGTTGACACATGAAAGGGGGTTGACACATGAGAGGGGGTTGACACATGAGAAGGGTTGACACATGAGAGGGTGGTTGGCACATGAGAAGTGGTTGACACATGAGAAAGGGTTGACACATGAGAAAGGGGTTGACACATGGAGGTGGTTGACACATGAGAAGGGGTTGACACATGAGAAGGGGTTGACACATGAGAAGGGGGTTGACACATGAGAAGGGGGTTGACACATGAGAAGGGGTTGACACATGAGAGGGTGGTTGGCACATGAGAGGGTGGTTGACACATGAGAAAGGGGTTGACACATGAGAAAGGGGTTGACACATGAGAGGGTGGTTGACACATGAGAAGGGGGTTGACACATGAGAAGGGGTTGACACATGAGAAGGGGGTTGACACATGAGAAGGGGGTTGACACATGAGAGGGTGGTTGGCACATGAGAGGGTGGTTGACACATGAGAGGGTGGTTGACACATGAGAAGGGGGTTGACACATGAAAGGGTGGTTGGCACATGAGAAGGGGGTTGACACATGAGAAGGGGGTTGACACATGAGAAGGGGTTGACACATGAGAGGGTGGTTGACACATGAGAAGGGGGTTGACACATAAGAAGGGGTTGACACATGAGAAGGGGGTTGACACATGAGAAGGGCGTTGGCATAAACATGTACAGACGGAGAGGGTGTCATTCCAGGGAAGGCCGGGTCCATGAGAACAGCATGGACATTTGTGAAGCCTGCGCCCTGGATGTTTTAGGGAAGAACAGGTGAAACAAAGGTCAGGCAGCAGGTGTCCCCGGGGTCCTGGTCACTGCCTGCAGAAGACTGGAAAGAAAACTGTTAAACCCAGTGCTGAGAAAACATTAAAAGTAACTGGGTTATGATGCGATGTTCAAGGCCTTGGAACTTGTTAAACCCGGCAAGTTTCCTTTTATTCCCGTCTTCCCGCTCACACTGGGTAAATGTTACCTATCACCGAATCACCCAGATATTTCCAAATAGAAGATATTGGCGTAAAATGTTTTATGGGTCAAGTACCATTACACTTAATGTTCAAAATTCACTGGACTTCGCTTGTCTGGAAGAATGAATTAAGTCAAAAAATATTAGTGGACTACCTATGATGTGATTCATTTAGGAGATTAATTTCAATTTGCAAGGGATCTGCATACACTTAAAATATGTATATTTTTCTATTTCTCTCTAGGTGGAAATGCTTTTTACCTGTCCCCAGATATCAGGAAACAGTGTGACTGGTTCCAAGGGGACCAACCAGCAAAGACTCACGTGAAATTTGGCCACAAACAAGTGTAAGTGATGATAGAACTGTCTCACAAATCACGGTGCAAAGGGAATGTAGAAATCCTCCGATGCCTAACACGATGGGGCGAGGACATCGTGATCCAGAGAAAGTGACTTCCCAAGGGCCATGTGCAACATTCCCTTAGAAGTATCTGTCTGCTTTTGCTGCAACAAAGGGTCCCAAGCTTAGCGGCTTAAAGCAACAATGTTACCTAATGTGCAGTTCGGTGGGGCTGTGAGTTTTGCTCGAGTTTTGCTTGGGCTCTGCAGGCAGTTCTTCTGGCTCCACTGGGCTCACTTACAGGCTGTGGCCAGCTGCCTCTCCATGTCTTTACAGTTCCTCTAGAACAGTCCCTGAAGCTGGCTCAAGCTTATCTGGGAAACAGAACAAACAAACCTAGTGTTTGCACCTGTGCAATCACGACTTGAAAACACACTGCACATGGCCCGTACCCTGACGTGTCTATGAAATAGCGAATGTCCGCGGTGGGAAATGAACAAGGGGCGGGTCTGTGCCGCTGCGTTTCGTGATGCTGCTCTTCTCGCTGGGGAGTCAGCTAGACCAAGAAAATGTCAATCAGACGAAACCAAACCACATGGACAGACATGAATGCAAACCAAAATGCACACAAGCCTGGAGCAAAGGGTGGGCCGGCTCGGTATTTCCCAGCTCAACCCAGCACTTTGCTGAGTGGACGCTTTCTTACCACGAGAGTAGCTATTAACTGATCATTATTGTTAACAATAAGAATAATTTTCATTTCAGGCTCGATTGTCCTGTGCCTCTCCCTGCTTTTATTTTATAAATTGAAGATAATTTGTCAGATGTATTTGTAGCACAATAGAAGCTTCATGTTTAGTGATTCGATGAGTTCACATGCTGTTCAGTGTGTTCTCGGTGGCACGGATCTAAAAGAAGGAATTTAATACGTGTGATGCGAGGGGTAATACATAAAACCACAGCACGCACGTTGATCAGACAGCAGATTTTGCGTAGCTCAGGAGGCTGTGTCTCTGTCCATTTTACGCAACAGGCAAAAATACAGATGGGCTGAAGCAATGCTTAATTTGTTTTAACAGAAATGCTCCAAATAACATTACTTCGAGTCCTACATCCAAACCGGTGACCACGACCAAGCCAGTGGCCACCACAGAACCGGTGACCACCACCACCAAACCAGTGGCCGTGGTCAACCTGCCGGCCTCGAAGCCGGCTGCGTCCAGACCCGCGGCCGCCAGACCTGTGCCCGCCAGGACGGACGCCACGAAGCCCGCCACCTCTAGACCCGCAGCGGCCGCCAAACCAGTGGCAGCAGCGAGGCCAGCAGCCCCAAGACCCCCCGCCCCCGCCAAGCCAGTGGCTGCAAAGGAGGCCTCCAAGCCCCAGGCAGCCAGGCTGGCCGCCACCAAGGCAGACACTGCGAAGCCCGTGGGTAAGAAAGCGGCCGGTAGCACTGCCCCGTCCACCAGCCTCGCGCACGGTGTCCAGGGCATGTCCCTCAAAGCCCGTTTACCAAGCAATCGAAATGCAGTCACTGACCCGGGATTTACGTGTTGGGGTGATCTGTGCATCTGAAAGGTGTGATCAGGGCAGGCAATTGTCAAAACGTTGCCTGTTTTCCGAGCGTGATCTTTCTCTTAGTCCGTGTGAGGCCCGTGAGCCCCGTGGAGGGGCGGGTGAAGGAGCCCCCACGCTCCCCGTTCCCCCCCGAGCCCCCCCATTCTCTCCGGGAAGCCCACGGGCGGGCACGGCCCCTCTCTCCTGGAAACCCCGTGTCTTACGAGGAAGGGATGAGTTCTCGGCAGAGGGTTTTAGGCCCCATTTAGTGAGTGAGAGAGAAAGACAAAGCCTGCTGGCTCCTGGGGGGCTGGGCTTGGATCCTGGAGCCAGATGCCTCCCCTAGGACCGGGCCCAGAAGACCTGGGCGCAGCTTCGTATTGCTGACTCGTCCTGCTGTGATGCCCATGCCCACAGACGGGGCCCACGCTGCCGCTGTGGCAGGTGGCTCAGCAGACGGGTGGTCAGCCCCCCGCAGGCCGAGCCAGGCGCTCGCCCGTGGGGACAGCAGGTCCGGACTGCACGAGACCCCAGGCGCGGGGCCCTCAGGAGACCCCAGTGTGCTCTTTTACTTTCTCCTCAAAGAGATGCTGGACGGTTACTGTAGTGTCACAACGGCACAGAAGGTGACGTCCGATGCATGTGCCCGTGAACAGCCACGAAACTGTCTTCATGTTACGAACAGCGAGAGAGCAGAGGTTCCGCCGGGGGGGGGGGTCCATGTCACACCCCAAAGCTTCACGACGCGGTGCATTTTAAATCATGGGGCTCGCTCTGTATGGAGCACCACGCTTCAGCTAGCACCCCGACTGTGAACTTTCCAAGCATCTTCTCAATACGAGGGATTGTCTCTAGGAAGAAGAGACAATCTGCTGATGAGCAGGGCGGGTGTTAATCACTGAGAGTCATTTCACCCCTCGCCTGTGTGGGCAGATCACTATTTCCCGGGAACTGAACAAGTAATTGGTTCCCTGCCTCCCCTCAGTCTCCGGTCATCTGTCTCCTGATACTCGTCCTTCAGCTTCCGCCTGCCGCCGCGTGTTTCCGCCACGTGGGGTGTTCTTTACCTTCACGCTGTGCTCCGATCTGTTCTAGTCAAGGCGCCCCGAGAGGTGCAGGTGTCTGAGATCACGGAGAACAGCGCCAAGCTCCGCTGGGACAGGCCGGAGCCCCCCAGTGCTTATTTTTACGAGCTCACCGTCACCTCAGCCCACGATCAGTCCCTGGTCCTGAAGCAAAACCTCACGGTCACGGACCGCGTCATCGGGGGCCTGCGTGCCGGGCAGACGTACCACGTGGCGGTGGTGTGCTACCTGAGGTCTCAGGCCAAGGCCACCTTCCACGGAAGTTTCAGTACAAGTGAGTACGCGTGGGTTTAAGGAAAGCCAGTGCTTCCTGGGGTGTGGACGATCGCTGGGACAGGGGGACAACTAAGTCACCAAACGCATTCAGAAATAGCAAGGTTAACGCAAAACCCTGGGTGTTCTGGTTGCACCCAGCTGCATAAACGAGAGAAATGGAAGACGGGGTTCCTGGTGACCTGTTGCCCTGCCTTTGGGGTCCTGGGCCACTTCACGGAGGAAGCCAGATCCATGTGGCCTGGGTGCTGCCCCTCCCTGGGAGGAAGAGCCATGCCTGTGTGACGTGGCCGGCTCAGCGCCCACCACGTCCGTGTTTCAGAAGCATGCTTCCACGTTCTGTGGGCAGAAAGCACCCCTGAGAGTCACTGGCTCCTTAGGGAGTAATGGAGGCGTCCATAAATCTCAGCAGCCTGTGGGGGGACACGGGGCTCTATGGCCACTGCAGAAAGGACACCAGAATTCTCTTCCCTGTCCCCATGCTTGGCTCTGCCTCTGTTGTTCCCCGGGTTCTTCTGCACCGAGGCCTGGCCCTGCGTGCTTCTCCAGCCTCTAAGTTACTCACACCCCCACCTCCCTTCTGGTTCTTCGTGTCCCCCTCCCCCCACATTCTTCTTCCCCCTGGCTTCTCTCCTGGGTGTGGAGGGGGTGACTCACATTCTTTCTGTTGGGCCAGTGCTGCTCAGATCAAGGAACTGTGCTCAGGGGAAGGGAATTCCCACCAGTCACCACGTAATCCCTGGAGATAAGAGTCCAGAGACCCCTCCCGCCCAGGGCTCTGTTTCCGGGGCTCGACACAGCAGAGGCTGTGCGGGAAATGGGGAGACGTGTCCAAAGCTCAGAGAGGTGCTCTGTGTTCTCGTTGCGATGAGTTGGACTAGCAGACAGCAGGCATGTGGATGCTGAGAGACTTCGCGGGTCCCTGCCTTTCAGTGCCCCACCCTTCTCTTAACCCACAGAGGCCAGCTTGCCCGGTCCCCCGGGGAGCCCGCCCTCCAGCTTCCGCGTGACCCACTAGTCGCATGTGTCTTTCCTTTCCAGGGAAAGCTCAGCCTCCACCTCCGCAACCAGCCAGGTCGGTCTCCAGTTCAGCCATCAATCTCATGGTGAGCACAGAGCCGCTGGCTGGCAGAGAAGCAGGTGAGTTGTGGGACTAGCAGGTCAGCGGCAGCCTGGGGACAGTCTTCTCCCGACACACGCGGCCTCTGCGGTCCGCTTCTCGGTCACCTGCTGAGGTTCTACTTCCCCAGCCAGGATGACTTCTAGGGGGAAGTCCCAAGCCTGCTCTGTGTGGCCCGACGTGGTCTCATTCTGCCTGTCCCAAGCTGTCCGTGGCCACTTACCTTGTCTGCCCCCAGGCTCGTGGAGAAATTCACGGGAGTTGCTTGGACGCTGCAGCCAGAAATCCCTGTATCGTTAATCGCCCTTCCTCATATTAGGACGAGTGTGGATTTGTGGTCTATGATGTTGCAAAGAGTAGGGTGTCATCCACTCAGGGACCCCATCTAATAAAAAACCGCTCAGAAGGACACAGGACACCCAGATGGGGACCCGTGGAAGACACAGGTTTGGAGGTGCCCCCTGGGACACGTGTTCTGGTCTCAATTCTCTGAGCACATGCCGGGCTCAGTCCGTCATCCCGTCTCCATGTACCAAGGAGTGCCCGTTTCCATGTCCTCAGGACAAGCTGGACAGGTTTCTGGACCGACCGCTGCTCCTTGCTTTTCCCCCGGGCAGTGGAACTCTCTGAGACCCGAACCCCCCGTTCAGCGGGACACAGACTCGGGGCACTCCCCGCCGAGGCCCCGACGATCAAAGTGGTTGATAAACATCACTTCACTGTTCTGCGGAATGTGTTGCTGCTGCATCCAAAGTCCACATTCCAGGGGCAGTTAAACGCGTGAGGGTCTTGGAGACCCCGCGGCACAAGCTTTTCCTAAGTGAGGGGGCAGCGCGTTCGTTGTCCGAGTGTTGGCCACAGGCAGGAGGAGGAAGGAGCAGCTCTTCCCAGCGGTTGTTTCTGTACCTGACTGTGATACAAGGCGTTTGTTGGGTGTCGACGCAGCTGTGCGTCCATTCGTACCGCGTTGTCAGGGCAACGGCACGTTCTGCCTGGAGTTATCGACCAGGACCCTCCTTGGACTCTGTTGGCGGCGGGGTTGTAAGATGCTGTTTGTTTCGCCATCTGACCATTTCTGTGGAGTCCGAACCCGGTCTGGTTTGTGTTCACATAAAAGTGGGGGGCTTCTGACTGTTCTTGAAGGGAGGAGAGGCCTCTTGATTCTTTTCATTGTTTCTAGTGGGAATCTTTGTTGCTAGAAACATTGTTCCATCAACGGACTTTTCTTAGGTCCATGTCTATATCTATAATCTAGGTCTAATATTTATATCTATACCTATACATCTACACTATCATCTATCTATGTATCTATCCATGTATCTATGTATCTATCTATCCATGTATCTATGTATCTATCTATCCATGTATCTACGTACCTACCTATGTATCTATCTATCCATGTATTCGTGTATCTATGTATTTATCTACCATTTCTTAATATAACCACAACCCGTATTCACATGTAGCAGTAGGCTAAGAACGAAGGTGACCGAGTCAGTGCAGGGCTTGTGAAACTGTTATGCGCACAGATACACAGCACGGGAAATACATGAACCACTTACAGAACTGAAACGTGTTCAGAGCAGTTTGCGTCTGGGCACAGGTTGAGGACCTGGTCTGTGTTAGGGACTCCCAGGTGTTTTGGAAACTCCTCAAGTCCTTGTAACGGAAAAATTGATAGAAAAACAAGAAATGGTCTCCTCTTGATGTCAGTTTATGGGAATGATTCAGGAATTCATGGTAGATTCTATAAACACTTTTAATGTTAGGGTTTTCGACTCACATGGAAAACAGTGGAAGGAGGAATGTGGGGGGAGGGTGTGGGATGGAGAAGAGCATTAGGTCTCAACTCCTTTGATTTCTGCTCCTAAGCAAAATTAAAAAAATTTTTTTTCTTTATTGATTTTAGAGAAAGAGGAAGAGAGAGAGAGAGAGAGAAACATCAATGAGAGAGAACATCAACTGGCTGCCTCCTACACAACCCGCACTGGGGATCGGGCACACATCCTGGGCTTGTGCCCTGACCAGGAATCGAACTGGCGACCTCTTGGTGCAGGGTCGATGCTCAACCACTGAGCTACACTGGGTGGGCTTCTGAGTCCTGCATCAAGGGACCCTGGAGAACTCTTTGTCCCCTTCACGGGGTCCCTACAGCTCCTAACCCACTCCAGCTCCATTCCTGAGTCACCTCCATAAGGGGTCCCCAAGAAGGTGCTTGATCTGAGAGATGCCCAAGAACGTGTAGACATTCCCCAAAGACATGGGTCAGGACAGAGGAGATGATAACTCCAGAGTCGCCGACATCTGTGTGCGCTCTTTCCCACGTACAGAGACCACCCCTACCGCGTACGAGAAATGGGACACTTCCAGCAACCTCACTGCTTTGGCGAGAGAAAATGACCGGGTGTAAGACAGCAAGTTTGGGATGTTTCTGGCTCTCTAATGTGTGGTCCAGAAGGGACAAGGATATATAAACAGTGTTTAGTTCATGTAAACAACACAGTCTTTAAACAAGAATCTGGCTGGGCTGGTCTCTGTCTTTTTTTTGAGACTGAGACACGGACTCAGAGAAGGAAGATGCCTCTGTCCACACATTTCTCACTCAGGCCTCTGCTCTCCACGTGAAAGACACAGAGGAGCTTTTGAAATGGAGGCTTGTGTGTCTTTCAAGGCTCCAAGTCGTTTGTGGAGGTTGATCTAAACCCCTGTCCTTCATTCTGATGAGCCTGTGGCCCCCAAACCCAGGCCCTGAATGTTCCTTCACCGTCTCACGTGGGTGGACTTTCCACTCTTGGTGATTCGTGGCCGCGTGAAGACGTGAGCTTCTGGTTTTGCTTCTGATCAGGGCCCCGCGGGACTGATCCACACGGTGACAAAACAGCTCCTGGAATAGCTCCAGAGCACGCACACATTCTCCCTCCCTCTCTCTCTCTCTCTCTCTCTCTCTCTCTCTCACACACACACACACACGCCATTTTCAAGAGTCGCTTTGAATGAAATCAATTAGATTTAAAACATTTAAAATCCAAAATGGTCAACAGAATTAGGAGACGAAAGCTTGTCTCCCCCCTCCCTCCCCACCTCCTGTCTCTCCCCGTCTCCCCTCCTTCGATAATCAAGTCGTCTTAGAAATGTTCCCCACGGTGTAAAACATTTTGATGATATCCATATTTTGGAAGATCGAAGAAGAAATAATGTATCCATTTATTAAGTAACTTAAAAAATATAGCGCCCGTATTCTCACTCAGTAGCTGTAGGTGTATTTGCATCTCAGGGTCAATGACCATGATGTGCGTGATGTTCCCAAAGATGTTTTCTGGACAATTCAGGCAAAGTGAGGTTTTAGAAAGAGCTGTTGTTGAAGGACGGAATGCAGTGGGATCCCTCCTGTTTCCTGCCGCGCCGGTCCATCGGAAACGTGGTCTGTGTTTACCAAGAGCCACGCCCCTTAGCATTGCGTGGTGATGCTTTTTCTACCTTCACAAGCGAAAGTTTACTGGGCTTCAGTTCTATCTTTTTTGTTGTTGTTGTTAATCTTCACCCGAGGATATTTTTCTATTTATCCTCAGACAGACTGAAAGGGGGTGGGGGGTGGGGAGAAGCATCGACGTGAGAGAGACACATAAATTAGTTGCCTCCCTCATGACCCTGACCAGGGATGGGGATCCAACCTGCAACCGAGGTCCGTGCCCTTGACCAGAACCGAACTCGTGACTCATTGGTCCGCGGGCGGGCTACACTGTAACACATCTAAAGTTGAAATGTGACTCATAATTGGTGACATGTCATGGTTTATTGAGTGTTTTGTGTTACTTTGTGGAACAGAACAGAATAGTGCATCATACAGTTAAGATAGCTGAGACTTGATAGAGCACAGCATCTGGTTGGCCGTGTTCCACTGTGACTATGTAGCACAGGCAAACACGAAACAATGTCACAGGGGGAAATATGCGACTTTCTGTTCATCACAATATAAAGAAGTGACTTAACCCCATACATCGAGATGGATTAAAGAGCTTCAAATATTTTCTCTGCGTGGCCAAATAGACATCGCTGCCTTTGAGGCCGGGCGCTGCTCTCCGTGTGAGAATGCCCACGTCGGTGGCAATGTGTGGGTTCCCATAGGTCTCAGGGGGCATTTGTGTGTGTGTGTGTGAAGTATAAAGTCTTAAAAAATAAGTCTGTTGGTCAAAGGGTCCAAAACTTAACCACAACTACGTTGAAAATGAAGTTAAGAATATAGCAAGTTGTCCTGGCTCGTTTGGCTCAGCGGTGAGAGCTTCGGCCCATGGACCAGAGTCGCGGGTTCGATTCCAGTCAAGGACATGGACCTTGGTTGTGGGAAGGGGACAGCTAAACACAGAGGCTCAGGACTGAGTGCACTTGGCACAAATACAGTGGACTAGCAGGGGCCGTCGGGGGACGACAGGAGGAGGGGTGAGGCAAGCATTTGGCCTGGGCCTCACGCTCGGAGGGGAGCCCACCGGTCGACAAGGGATACGTTTGGGTGGCAGGATCATCTTGCCTTCCCTCTGTGACCTTCTGGGCTTTCCCCTGCAGTCATCGGCGTATTTGAGAGAAAGAATGTTGTTTTGTGAATTGTCCTCATTTTATTCTGGCTCCACTGGGCCTTCCGAGGCTGCAGGGCCACTGAGGGGGTCCGCAGCTAGGAGACGCGGCTGCGGAGACACCGGCCTTCAGCTCGGGTGACCGCTCCCCGCAGTCACCGGGGGTCTCCAGATCGGTTCTGAGCCCTGCGTACCGGGGGCTGGTCCACGTTGCAGACCCGAGCTTTGGTTCTCGCCCTAAGGCTCAGGGCTTCTTTGTCCTTCTTGACATCAGTTGGAAATGCACATTGGCCGTCTGCCGGGACAACCACGCAGCTGTGGAACAGGCCCTGCGTGGGGAGGGCTGGTGAGTCAGGTCTGGGAGCCCCTCATGGAAACACGTGGCACCGTCCACGCCAGGGCCAGGGCGTCTTGTGGAAAGGTTTACGTCTTCCAGACTTCCAGATAACGGCTGACATTAATACCTGTCTTTCCCGGCACCGGCGGCAGCTTGCCAGAAGACTCTGTAACAGACGTCCCGCCGGGTGTGAGCGGCGAACCCCCCTCCAGGCCCCGTGGAGAGCCAGCTTCACCCCAGCTGGGCCACCTCACGGGTCCGAGTCCGCCCTGAGATCGTAAACTCCCTTAACTGGAAGCGGGGTGCCTCCCGGGCAGCCGTGCTCGGCTTGTTGCCTCGACTTTACAGCAGCGGCAGCTCCGCTTGTTCCTTTCTGTTCAATTTGGCTGCTCACGAAGGCACTGGGCTACACACACATGGATATACACACACAGACCCACACTCATGTACACACACGGATATACACACATAGACCCACACTCATGTACACACACGGATATACACACACAGACCCACACTCATGTACACACACGGATATGCACACACAGACCCACACTCATGTACACACACGGATATACACACACAGACCCACACTCATGTACACACACGGATATGCACACACAGACCCACACTCATGTACACACACGGATATGCACACATAGACCCACACTCATGTACACACACGGATATACATACACAGACCCACACTCATGTACACACACGGATATACACACACAGACCCACACTCATGTACACACACGGATATGCACACACAGACCCACACTCATGTACACACACGGATATGCACACACAGACCCACACTCATGTACACACACGGATATGCACACACAGACCCACACTCATGTACACACACAGATATACACAAATAGACCCACACTTATGTACACATACAAATATGCACACACAGACCCACACTCATGTACACATACGGATATGCACACACACAAACACACACATGCACACACACGTATACACACATAGATGTACACTCACGTACACACACAGATGTACATTCATGTACACACACGTATTTACGCACAGACACACAATCGTGTACACACACGTATATATACACACAGATGCACACTCACCTTTACACACTCAAAGAATTTTTTTCCACTTTACCTTTTCTTTAAAAAAAAATGTTTTTTTCAATCCTCACTCAAGGATATATTTCTATTTATCTTCAGATAGAGAGGGAGGAAGAGAGAGGGAGAGAGAGAGAGAAACATTGACGTGAAAGGGACACTAGTTGCCTCCCGCACGACCCTGACCAGGGCCGGGGACGAACCGCAACTGAGGTCCATGCCCTTGACCGGAAACGAACCTGAGACTCTCTGGTCCGCGGGCCGCGCTCCAACTGCTGAGCCAAACCGGCCAGGCTGACCTTCATGTTCAATCTAGTTGGCGTGTGGTGACAGGCACAGCCTTGTCCTGAACGCTGTTCTGACAGCAGTGATCACTGTCTGCCAAGGACGAGAAAACCCAGCGGTGTCACAGCTCGGTTTCCTCTCGGGGGCCCAAGCGAAGCCTCTGGGGCGTGGAGGCCGGGCGGGGAGGGGCGCCCCGTTCACTTCACCTTACATTGTCCGGCATCGAATCAGAGCCGGCGGGTTCTGAGGGCGGTTCATCGAGCCCTTTGCCGGTTCGATGTGTGTGTTGCTGCTGAAGCTCTCGGTGGCTATCATGCCATCTGACTGCGGGGAAACTGAGGCCTGGGAGTTTAGGGCGTTTCCCCGCACCCTTCTTTCTCCGTCAGCCTCGCGATTAGACCTTCACCCCTGGCGAGGGAGCCGAGTCCCCTGCAGGCTCTAACGAGTGGTCTTTCCTCCTCTCCTCGTCCAGATATATGTCAGCTGCCCAAGGAGGAGGGGACGTGCCGGAAATTCGTGTTGAAATGGTACCATGACGCCCAGACCCGGAGCTGCGCCAGGTTCTGGTATGGCGGCTGCGGCGGGAATGAGAACAGATTCGATTCTCAGAAGGAGTGCGAGAAGGTCTGTGCCCCCGGTAAGTCGCGTCCCTCGTCCCTCGGGTCTGACGCGCTCGCAGACGAGATGACAGGCGCCCCGGTCAGTGCCTCACCTTCCTGAGATGGTTCAAGGACAGTGATGACGGCAGATGTGGGACACAGAACAGGTCCTCTCTTCAAACAGAGCCCACGAACATGACTACTCTCTCTTAAAACACCCTCGTGTCCTTGCACTGGCGCCCGTGGACAGACACACGGCCACCCACTCCTCGCCATTGGAAATGTTACTGAAGTCCCTGCTACTCATAAAATAGTGTAACAAGCATGATTCTTAGGGAAATACGGTCACGCACGATGGTAGATAACACCCGCGGTAACTCACCCCATCTCTTCATCTTTGAATAGTTTCGCTTCTGCTAAGCAATGATGTGGACACTGGGGACACCCAATGTCTCCATTATGTTGGGCAACTTAATTGGGGATAGAGCACTGGTTTCCCCACGAGCCAAGCCCCCGGGACAGAGATTGCCATTCGCACAAAGGCCTGGCCAGTGGTGCGGTGAGCAAAGACTCAGGTGGAAGGGGAGCCCCTAGCCCCCCCCTCCCCCAAGAAGCTCCGGAAAACCACTGAGGCTTTTGAGCAGGACAATGAGAGATGGGTGATGAACACCAGAGGCCATGGGGTCATTTCACGAGAAAGAGTGTCCTTTCGGTCAGTAACATGGCTTTTCTTTCTCCTCTCTCCTCCCCTTTCCCTCCCCTGGGGCTCAGTGCTTGTCAACCCCCGAGTCATCACTGCGATTGGGACCTAAGCGTGGCGGACCGGGGACGCATACCTCTTGAAGAAGGAGTCAGCCATTGGCAGTTCGTCTTCGTAGAAGCCCTGGGCATAGATTCCCTGGCACTGCACCATTTCACGCTTTGATGTACACTCAACCTTGGGAGGACCCGCCTGCCGCCTGCCTGTCCGCACGGTGCTAGTGACTGCGGACCCAGCCCTCGGTCTCCGGGCAGCTGTAGCCTATACTCTGAACTTGTGTAATAGTTAGCCACTGCCGGTGTTCGTGTGAGCATCCCTGTAGGTTCAAACCCTCTGAGTCTCACGTTTGCCTGTTTCCAGCAAACGAAAGGTCCGGGAGCTAGCCCCGGACTTCACCGCCGCTCTCTCCTTCCGCTTGACCGTCCCCTCTCTCAAGGAAGCGCGACGTTAGACGGAAAGCCTGCTACGGCGCACGCGCCAGAGTCCACCTTCTCCACTTCCCCCCAAACCCTGGGTTTGATCGCGAGGGGATTCTCCTTTTCCGAAGCCTCCCACAAGCCGTCGGGTCGGAGGGAAGCAGGCCCTCCCGGCCTCTGTGCACTGTGGTAGGACCGAGGCCTTCAGCAGAGCGAAGACAACGTCGCGACAGGGCACATGGCTGGCATCCCTCTAGTGTTGTGTTTTGTTGGTTTTATTTTTTGGTGCGGGGGTGGGTGGGGTCTAATTTTAATTTTAAAGTTTTTAGGAAATTTATACAAAGAAACTTTTTAATAAAGTGTATGGAAAGTGTCCTGGGTTTGCCGTTGTGCGCTGTCCTGTTTCCCTAGCAGCGGTGGTCGGACTCGCCCCGAGGCCAGGGGAACCGAGGTTGGAGATCCCTCTCAGCCAGCGTGGGCGAGCGAGGGTCCAGCCCGCTGCGCCAGACGCCCCGGCCACCTGCACGATGTCCCGGGCTTAGGACCCCTGCAGGCTTTCTGGACTTAAGAACCGGTTGGGTCCGGCAGGGTGGCTCAGGGATGGAGCGTCGACCCTGCACCAAGAGGTCGCCCATTTGATTCCCGGTCAGGGCACATGCCCAGGTTGTGGGCCCGATCCCTAGCGGGAGGCGTGCAGGAGGCAGCCAGTCGATGTTCTCTCTCATCGATGTTTCCATCTCTCTCTCCCTCTCACTTCCTCTCTCTCTAAAATCAATAAAGGAAAAACAAACAAAACAAAACAAAAAACAAACCGGTTGGCTTTCACCCTCTCCTCTAACTTCCGGTGGGGCCTCGGAGCCTGGCCTCCCAGGGTTTGCGCCCACAGCATCTGAGGGGTGATGTGCAGGTGGCCCGGGACGCTCCGCCCCTTTTCTGGAGTCTCCAAGAGCAAGCAGAACGTCTTGTCATCCTTCCTCAATGACCTTCACGCCCTGTCTTCAGAAATAACACAGGAGGCAGACAAACGCGCCTGAGGCGGTGCCTGAGCTCCACCGAGGGAGGAGCTGGGGTTTGCTTGACCACAGATCCGCCCTGGTAGACACGCTGGCGGGACCTGGGCGAGGGCAGCACTGCGTGTGACATCCCCAATGACGCTGTCCGTCACTCTACTGCGGGGAGGAGTGTGCAGGGCTGGGAGAGGAGGGAGTCTTGGGGCCACAGACACCCCCCGTCGCATGGCACCCTGTCCATGGAGTGCGGTTCCTAAGCTGGCACAATGCACTGGACGTGAGAAGTGAGTGCCCGCCCAGGAGCGGGTGGAAAAGCGACTTTGCGCCCCAGGCCAGGTGGTAGAGTCGAAGCAGGGTGACCAATGGGGGGAGTGTGTGGGTGGAGCACCTCGCTGCCGGGCACTGCAGGACCAGGGAAGGACTCAGGGCACCCCGGCACTGGGCGTTCCGGGTACGGGCATCTCATTGGAACTGAGGGCCTGGCTGACCATCTGGGCAGCTTCAGGAAACAGCAAAGCTTTGGGGACTCCTTAGAAGCCCTCACAGTGGGGACCACCTCTGTCCTCTCGATAACGCCAGCCCCTCCTCACCGTTGAAGGGCTCCCTTTGCAGTATGAGACCACCCAGTGGGCCTACAGAGAGCCCAGGGAGGTCATGAATCCCTTCAGTGGATATCCACCCTGGGAGGGAAACCACGCTTCCAGGACGTTCTCAGTGAGACCACCCCGAAGTCCCCGCCCCCTTCCTTGTGAGAAGGCCTGCGCACCCCTCTCAGGCGGCCTGTGTTCGGGCCAAGGGCACCCCATCGGCGCACAGACGTGTTTGCGAGGGCTGGGGAGAGGAGCGGCCGGGTGCGCTGGGGGCGCGGGGCCAGGAGACAGGCGCCCCTTTGCTCGGCCCCCGACCAAGTGCCACAGTCGGGCGTGTTCAGGCAGCAGGGATTTCTGCTCCCCGGTTCTGCAGGTGGAAGTCCGCAGGCAAGGTGCCGGCAGGGCCGTGCAGCCTCCTCCTGGCCTCTTCCCGCCTGTGGTCATTCCTGAGCTTGTAGCCACGTGCCCCGGTCTCTGCCTGTGTCTTCAGGTGGCTTTCTGCTGTGTCCCTGCCTGTGCCGGGCCCTCTCACGTTGCGTTAGGGTCTACCCTACTCCAGCGTGACCGCTCCTTAACGGGTCTGTCCCCAGTGATCCCATTCCCAAAGAAACTCGCATCGTGAGGTGCCGGTGGCTGGAACCTCAGCATATGTGCTTGGGGGACACAGTTCGCCCCCCAGCATGGTTTCTGCATCTCCAGGGCCCGTCCCCACCCCTGTGATGCGGATCCACGCGGACAGCTGGACGGCAGCCCCAGTGAAGACCTTTCGGCGGAATCCCGTCACCGTGTCACTTGGGGGATCCCAACCACCACTGCTGGGCCCTTTCACTGGGAGGCGCAGTGCAGGCTGGACGCATGGCCGTGGAGGGGTCCGGGTGGAGGAGCCCCGGCCGGCTCTCTCCCACGTTCCTGGGCCCCCCGGGTCTGCAGAGGTCTGCACTGAAGCTCAGCTGGACTCCTGGGGCAACGTTGAAGTTGGCCGTCTGCCGGCAGGTGCTGCTCTCTCCCCCTGCCTGCCTTGGCTCCCTTCTGCAGCAGGGTCCCATGCTCACTCCTCAGGGCACACATGGGTCCCTGGCAGCACCACTGGCAACTACTTGGGCTTCTGAGAACCTCCTGCTCCCTCTTCAGAGCCCCCTGTTGGGGAATGCCTCCTTACAGGCTCTTGGTCTTGGGGGATCTTTATTCAGTAGACCACCCTCTTGGGGTACAATATAATCAAGTCGGCTCAAGTCCAGCCACCCTCTTGGGTCCCTTAATCCACAACAACTCATGACCTTGTCACATCAACCGGCCTCTCTGTCCCCCCTCAACCCCGAGCTCCTCCAGCAGGTCCGGTGGTCAGGCACGTGGTCAGCTGAGAGCTGGCCTCAGTCCCTGACTCGGTGGTGGTGAGAGGGACTCAGACCACTTCCCCACCCCGGGCTGTTTCTCTTAGGGTTTTGTCTTCGGGGGAGGGGCCATTTGCATGTCCTTCCTGCTGCCTCCGGAAGTGAGCACCCACCTTCCCCGTGGGGGCGCAGTGGAGTGTGCTGCTGCACACGAGCCCATCGCCCTGGTTCTGCACGGCCCGCGGTGGCCACCTCTGCGAGGACAGGGCCCATCGGGCACCCAGCGCCAGCTTCTTGCAGGAACTCAATGAGCAGAGAGCTCTGGGCCCGTCTTCTCTCGATGGGCTCCACACTGCGCTCCCCCCGTGCCCCCAACTCTCCCGGAATGAAAACTGGCTTCCCCAAGCACCCCGCTAGTGCCTGAGACTCTGTGTGCATCATACATTCGTGACGAGCGGGTGTCTTACTGAAGACTCCTCGAGGGGACAGCAGGGAAGGTTCATCACACGCCCCCCGACTTGACTTCCTTCAAACGGCCTTTAACAAGCTATCTCAGCCCCACAGCTGCCTCAGATCTCCTCCTCCTCCTCCTCCTCCTCCCAGCAGCTGCCTCAGATCCCTGCATCCCCACAGCCGTCTGTCCGGGCTGTCCCCGGGGGCGGGAGCTTGAACCGGGAAGACCAAAGCCCAGGAGACGGAGAAACGGTGGGCGCCCCGCTTCCTGCCCTGCTCACTTGAGACCTCGTCACTGCATCTCGTTAAAAAATCGGCCGTGCATACAATATGTGCATCAGTGTACGTGCACCGTTTGACGAGTTTGGTGACTATGTCCCCGTAACCGCCCCCACACTCGCAACATGAAGCATCGCTGTAAGCTCCCTGGCAGTGTGTCTAAAGGACAGTTAATGTTTTTGTAACTTTTCTCCCAGTAAATTTACGAGCAGACACGTATCCCAAGGAAATCTGGAGATGTACAGAGATGGATGTTCAAGGATTTCCAACCCGTCATGCTTTGCAATGAAAAAAGAATTAGAGATCATCGAAAGGGCCAACAAGAGGGGGACCCTTAAATACATCCTGCTTCCCCAGGGAGCCGGTGTGTACGTCGTGACGCTGGTAAACGGTTCATGCAATTGCAGGGGTCCCCCTTACCCACGGGGCACGCTCCTAGACCCCCAGTGGGTGCCTGAGACCATGGAGAGGATCAAACCCTATATTCTGTGTTTTTTTCCCCCTATACTACATACCTACCATAAAGTTCCATGTATAAATGGGGCAAGTAAGAAATTTACAATAACTAAAAACGGAACTGTAAAAATAGTTATGTAAATGTGGTCTTTCTCTTTCAAAATATCTTATTGCGCTGTATGCACCCTTCGTATGAAGATGTGAGATGTGAGATGATCCAGTGCCTACATGACGAGATGAGGTGAGGTGCTCAGAGCAGCGTGTGATTTCAAACTTTGTGAGTTGTTTGTTTCTGGGATTCTCCAGTTCATATTTTTGGATCATACTTGCCCATGGTTAACTGAAACCGTGGAAAGGAAAACCATGGATAATGAGGGACTACTGTAATCAGTCAATGTTCATGATAGCATGTTAAAATATACAGACCTGTATATTTACTATGATAATTTCATTCACACGTGTGTACATGCACACACACAAATGCATGTATTTTTATTTTTTGCAAAGAAAAAATACTGAAAGCAAGCACAACAGAATTCAAGTAGTGGGTATTTCCGGTGTGGTGACTTAAATGTTCTTTAAATGTTCCTGCACTTAATTAAAAAATAAAATAAAATAAACATGTTACCTTTATCAGTTATTTTAAACTTCATGATGCTTTCATACACGAATTGCAGTATTTGTAAATTGAAATTGTGTTATGGTCTGTGTTGTATGAATGTACTTAACCATCCATTCATTAATTCACTCATCCATCCATCCATTCTCTCATGCATCCATCCATCCAGTCACTCATCCATCCATCCATCCAGTCACTCATCCATCCATCCATCCAGTCACTCATTCCTTCATCCACTAATCCATCAACTCACTCACTCACTCACTCACTCACTCATTCCTTCACTCCCTCATTTACTCTCACTCATTCGTTCTCATTTCTTTGCACGTGTTTGTTGACTATTTATCACGTGCTAGATATTTATCACGTGATAAGTATTTATCACTGGAAATGCCACCCTAGGTGTGGGAACAAGACAACACCAATCCTCGTGAATGCTGGGGGTGGGGAAGAGGAGGAGGAAGTAACGTCTGCCTCTCCCACTCCCTGGCACGGTCAGCACATGGAGGCCG